TAGCAGCAATGTGCTCATGGACCTTTTTGTGCTGGGACCCCACTGGCTTTAGCACAATGGGAGCAGTAGTTGGAGATACAGCTCTTGTTCATTAGACTGGTTCGTGAGAGCTGTTCTATAGTAGCGTCCACCAGAGGGCGCTGGTGTCGTGTCTAAAGGACTTGTGTGTTCTGGTGACAGGTGCAGTACCCGGATGGGCAGTCCCACCTGATCCACCCCAAACCGGGAGACTTCAGGAGGCCCGGCCCGTCCCGACACCGCCTCATCACGCAGGTGTACCTGTCCCACACGGCCTGGACCGGTCAGTGCCTTCACACGTTCTGTCATGTTCTCTGTATGTAGTCCGCTATTGCCATGGAAACGAGTACGAGTGAGGTTTGTGGAGATGTAAGCCACAGCCAATCACAGTTAGGACACGTTTTCTGTGCCACAAAAACAAACATGGGGGAATAAAAGATGAGATTAGATGCAGTTTCCTTTCAGCTGATAAATCATCTCTCACTGTATTGAATAATATTTAGGAAATGTAATGTACTAGTTAAAATAAACTAATGGTCACGTCTAACCTTAGCTCCATGTTGTACTTTGTAACACACTGTGCCTCCTGCTTGTGTCCAGAGCCCTGTCAGATCTCTGTGCGCCTCCTGCTGGCCTACAGCAGCACTGCGCCTGGGGGAGCAGAGTCCGAGGGCCCTCAGGCGGACATCCAGGGCACCATTCCCTTCAGCAAACCCGTCAAAGTGTTCATCATGCCCAAGCCCACGCGGCGATAACAGCCCAACGCCTCCTGGGACACACGGTTCTCACACACAGACAGTATAGTAGTGTCCTGCAGCAGAGGGGCCTTCAGCATAAGTTCAGCCACTTTCTCTTCAATGGATTTTGGACATTTTTTTTTTTAAGACTGAATGACACACAAACCATTCTTTGTTGTTCTCTCCTTGAGCTTCAAATATAACTTATACAATACTTTTTTATGGTGTAAAATGATCATTTATAGTTTCAACTGGAGCTGGGTATCTGAATAGTTTACCAACATGATAAATGAGTCTTCTGGCTCCTTTTCTTTAAACAAAAACACAACATGACCGGTACAGTTATTTCATTTATTGAAGAAAACGTGTTGTTCATGTGTGGGTCTCCAACTATAAAATATCAAAAATATATTCTTATAATGGGCTCTGGGTAGGGCGAGCGTCAGTAAGGGTGGTCTCTGGACGGGGCGGGGCATCAGTGGGGGTGGGCTCTGGAGGGGGCGGGGCATCAGTGGGGGTGGTCTCTGGAGGGGCGGGGCATCAGTGGGGGTGGTCTCTGGAGGGGCGGAGCATCAGTGGGGGTGGTCTCTGGAGGGGGCGGGGTGGGGCATCAGTGGGGGTGGTCTCGGTGGTCAGCAGGTGGAGTGGAAGACCCCCCCCACCCTCCTGCCCTCTGCTGCGAGTCGGTTGTACTCCTCCACAGCCTTCTCCGTCTGCAGCACACACACCTCCACACCACGGCCTCGCACCACCTCCAGCGTGGAGCCAGGGACCTGCACACACACACACAACAATCACACACACAACACACACATCCAACAATCACACACACAACAATTTCACACACACATCGAAAAATAACACACACACACAGTTTTCTATTCTCCAGAGTCCGAGATGCCATTTCTCCGGCAGTCCCTCATAACACCAACATTTTAAATAAGGAGAAGGGCTGGTAAATACTTTAATGTACTTAAAAGCTACTTGCAAAGAGAATATCCGAGTGTCAGGTTCAATGGTAACTTGTATGAGACGTTACAATACTTTCTCAAACACGAGTCATAAATGAATGTGTTTATTAGTCACACGGTGGGGAAATGACCGATTCAAATGGGATGAGCTGAGGGGGTGCCAGAAGAACCACTGCAGAAAATGATTTTATCCATGAGAGAGGAAAGAAAACAAATGGTGTGAGCTGCTCTTACACAGAATAATATGTACTAAAGTGTCTCTGTGTTTACATTATGATTGTGTCTTGTATAAACTTTCCATCTAGTGCTATTTCAATGATTTCAGCTTCAAAAGGCAGAAAACAGCTTTGTTCCTGATATTAGCAGAGAAAAAACAACTCTTGGTCTGTTTTTGCTGGTAACAACGTAGTGTGATGGTTAAATATGCAGTATGTGTCCTGTGGCAGTGACTGATCTGAGGTTCGGTACAGTCTGTGGTCGGTACCTGCAGAGCCTCAGACATGCCGCGGCCGATCACCAGCAGATCTATCCCCTTAGATAGAAGCTCGTCCAGGTCTGCCGGCTGCACCCCGGGGTGATGCTGCGGGCACAGGGTCACAGCAGGAGGTCACAGGTGAGAGCCCTACTTCACACACATCTCCTTTAAAACGTCTAGGGCTAGGCCTACGCAAATCCAGAGAAAAAGAAAGTGAATCCCCAGGTCTAGTCTGCCACAGTGAGACCAGACTATAAGCTGCTACTCTCTTCGATTTCTTTGACCTCAGCGGCCTATATCGCAATGCTGCAAATTGACACAGTCCTATCTGCTAACCAAAGCCAACAACGAAGCGCACATTCCTGCGTCCCCTTGTGGTTAACAGCAGAGACACAATGAAGCGCAGGAAAACACACACAGGACTTGTTTTTATGAGATTCGGGGTTTGGGTTTGTTTGCAGACTTAGTAAATTCAATAATAACTGTTTATGGGACAAACCCAAATCCAGCCTTGATATTTGAATTGTTAATTTTCAACACATACATCTCACCTGTTTTTGCAATTACAGTAAATTATAGATCTATTAAAGTAGAAATATGTAAGATTTTCAAGGCAAGTCATCATTAAAGGGCCCTAATCTGTCAAAAGGCATTAATAAAACATGCTGGATTCGTCTGCATATCTGGCAACCTGAGTCAGGGAGAGTGGGAGAGGCTGCAGTACCACTTTTGGCCATATTATTATTACATACTGCTCCTTTAACTATCAGTCCGTGGCCCTCTGCTGTGGGAGTGAAGTGGACATAAGGAAGCAGAAGGCTGTGATGTCACTCACGTTCGTGCCGGTCTCTCTCCAGTCCCAGGCTCGACTTCCTCCAGGCCAAACCTTACAGTCTTTATACGAGCCCCCGCCCTGGACCTTCATGTGACCCCAGGACAGAGACGAGATCTGAGGGGACGCCATCCGCACACAACCTACAAGGACCAGACTCTTCATATCAAAGAAACAAACAGCCAGAAGCAACAGCGTTAGAGTTATCCATTTCTACAACTTAGTTTTTCTAAAGCTGGGGTCAGGATATCTGTTGCATACGTGAGAGCTGATTTGCTGGGACTATTATTCACATTTCTGTCTGAAAAACTAGGTCTAAGGGTTTGGCAGAAACTAAATAGATGAATGTGAGAACTCTGATAGAAGTATGATTTAGTTTGTGGTTTGAAAGTAAGATACCCCAGCTTTAACATGACTGTAAGTGAGAGCCACAACAGCGCGGTTATGGAGTGGACTAATATCTATCCATAGTCAGTAAATGTATAAAGTGTTATCGGTTTTGTCTTGACACAGAAAACACAAACCAGGTTGAAATGGTTGCTGTCTGCATTAGTAGATAAAAACTGTATCTTAATGAGTAATCCATATCCCCTCACAACGCTCCTATTAAGCAATAAACATGATTATTTAAGATATGAGAACCTCTATACGTCAACAGTGGGGAAATGTCAATGTTGCAGCGCACAAACGGGACTTTAGAAAGAGAGGGAGCACACAAAATATACCTAAGTAGCTGTTAAGTTTCTGAGCGAGCTGTTAACACTTATTGATCTCACAATGGAGAAATTAACACGTCACATTTGGCATATAAAATCATTCCGGTTGTGCAAAAAAGTTTAAAAACACGTTAAAAAAGGTTAAATATGCAAGATGAATAAATCTATATCTATACATTTCTGTTTCCACTTGACTTTTGCTGTAATGTTATTAAAGTTGGTACAGTAGGTCCAGGACGCAGTGCAACATGGCGGCGTGGCTTGTGCTAAAACCAGCTGCAGACCAAACGTTTCAACTGAATTCTGTGTGAAGTCCGCGTGTTTCTGCAGAAAGATCCGCGTCCACAGGGTCCACACAGGGTCCAGAGAGGGTCCACAGCTCCTCCTGCGTCTGCGGCTCTGACTGTGGCCTTTAGCGTCACTTTACGACCCCCCCCGGTTCTGACGCAGGACGGGATCATTTATAGTTCCAAGTAGAAACAGAAATAGCATCATATAAACATTAGAATGACAGGTCAGAGAAGAGTCTGATCCGTGCGCTGTGTCTGTAGCATTAGCTCCACAGGACATAGCACTTTAAAGTCAGACGGAAACAGTCTCATTATTCTGTTGTGTTTACTGTGATCACGGCTCACCTCACGCGTCCAGCTGCGGTGACGCACGGACGTCTGTCGTCGACGCACACGCTCCTCCTACTGCTGCTTCTGCTTCAATGTTTACTTTAAAAACAATCACATGTCTTTAAAGTGAGACAGCCTCTGGGGTCATGACGTCACCGCCTGAGATTGTTTCAACAACTTTTATTGTGTTTTGATAAAGCCCTAAAGGTGTAGAATAAAACAACAAATCAAAATTAAAATACATGAAAATATATAGGACACACACATAAAGGGAAAAAATGTGAATTAAAGTGGGTAAATAAATAACCTATTAACCTTGTTACACCTTAAAAAGGTAGTACAATTATTTACTTAAAGGATCACAGGTAACAGGAAGTGTTTCGACTGAGCCTAAGTGACCTCTCAAGTTTTACATTTATAAGAGCTCTTGAACCCAACGGAAATGTGAAAGTGCAAGAAATCAAATTTCTTGGAGTTATAATAGACAACAGGCTAACTTGGAAACAACACATTAAATACTTTTTGATATTTTAGTGGATATGTATCTCCGTAATAGCAAAAGCAAAGCAGTTTTTAAATTTCAAAGCTCTACATACTTTATACTGTTCTCTGATTCTGCCATATCTGAATTACTGCTCTGTGATCTGGGGAAACACTTACAAAAACACAGTCAAACCGTTAGTGATGCTACAAAAAAGAGCCATTCGAATCATTCATAAAGTGGGTGTTCAAGATCATACAAACGCGTTATCTATAAATTCAAAGATTATGAAGTTTTATGATCTTATTGAGTTCCAGACTGTGCAGTTGATATATAAAGCAAGATATAAACATTTACCAAAACAAATACAGAAAAGGTTTCAAGAGCGAACTAGTTGTTACGAACTACGAGAAGAATTGAACTTGATGATACAGAAACACAGCTCAACACTGAAAAGTTTCAGCCCCACAGTGAATGGGGTTCAACTGTGGAATAATTTGGAGCAGGAGATGAAACATAGTCCAAACATTAATGTGTTCAAATTTAAATACAAACAAAAGACTTTCGATAAATATAAAGAGGAGGAAATTATATGTCACTAGGGGCGCAATCGGGATAAAATAAATTGGTGTTTGGTTTTGTTTTGTTTTTGTTTTTTTATTTCTATTTTATCAACTTCGTTTAGTTGCTTATTATAGTCATTATGATCTTTATTGACCTTGAAGAGTGATGTTGCTTTAAACAGTTGCCATTATTTGTCGTTAATATTGCTGTTATCGTCTGTTCTTTCTTGTTTATTTTTTTACATTTGCATAGTTGCTGTTCTATGTAAAGTGTGTATATTTTCATGTAGTGTTTTGGGGGTGGGCACCAATAAGCTTTTGCTTCGGCCCACTCCTTTTGAGCAGTACTTGTCTGCTCAAATAAACAAATAAATAATTAAATAAATAAAATAAAGGTAACAACCCGCTTCATTGACTTGGGCAAATTTGAGACAGGGACCTCAAAAATGGCGTTACACGATTCGGGGCAATTCAATGACCACAAGCCCTGACAGAATAGACGTAAATGCAAAAAAAAAAAGCTCGTCCTCTTCTGACATAGAATTTACAGCGTTCTCAAAAATTGAGTATGGTGGGGATTGTAGTGTCACCCCTGCTCACATCCCCCCGGGCCCCTCGCTCACATCCCCCCGGGCCCTCAGACTCCTTGCTCCGCACCTGCTTAGGCACTTCCTGCTGCTCCGCGCAGGCTCCAGGTACAGGTGGGGCAGTGATCTCCGGCTGGACTCGTTCCTCCAGAATGAACAAGGAAAAAAATACTCCAAAAACAACAAAGCACAGACGCAAAGATAAGCAGCCTGGGCGCGGGCCATGTGAGCTCTGTACCCGAGCGGGAGACGCGTGCGTACGGACTGATGTGGCCCCTGTGCGCGCTGCTCGGTCTGGCTCTCTCCCTGTGGCGCGTAGGTAAGACTGAGAGACTGAGAGACTGTGAGAAAGTGAGACCGTGTGTGATGGTTCTGCTTTGGGGTTGCGTTATGTCCGTGCGTAATGGCGCTAGTTTGCCACACGCGCTTCTCCGTGGCGCAGTAGTTTTACCCGGTCACAGAGGCACAGGTCCGGGATGGATGAGAGCAGTCTATCGTGTTGTTTTTGTGGATTCCAGGTGAGCTGTCACGTTCAGTTTGCTCCAGGCTCCAGCTTGTTGGGCAGGTTTTACTCGCACTGGTCTGTAAACATGTAACACTATATTTGCATTCTCTTGTTTTCATGGAGTTTTCCTGAATTTGGGCACTTTCTCATTCCATAGAACTGAGCAGTGCTTTAACTTCCTGTAGTGGAACAAAGAGGCCACTACAAGATAACTATAAAAGTACAACAGCAAAGTATTGGTGATATTTTGTGTGCTCCCTGTGTGCTCTTACCACTGTCCCGTATGTGCTCTTACTTCAATCCTGTATGTGCTCTTACTACTGTCCCGTATGTGCTCTTACTACTGTCCTGTATGTGCTCTTACTACTGTCCTGTATGTGCTCTTACTGTCCTGTATGTGCTCTTACTACTGTCCTGTATGTGCTCTTACTGTCCTGTATATGCTCTTACTACTGTCCTGTATGTGCTCTTACTACTGTCCTGTATGTGCTCTTACTACTGTCCTGTATGTGCTCTTACTACTGTCCTGTATGTGCTCTTACTACTGTCCTGTATGTGCTCTTACTACTGTCCTGTATGTGCTCTTACTACTGTCCTGTATGTGCTCTTACTACTGTCCTGTATGTGCTCTTACTACTGTCCTGTATGTGCTCTTACTGCTGTCCTGTTTATGTGCTCTTACTACTGTCCTGTATGTGCTCTTACTGCCCTGTATGTGCTCTTACTGCCCTGTATGTGCTCTTACTAGTGTCCTGTATGTGCTCTTACTACTGTCCTGTATGTGCTCTTACTACTGTCCTGTGTGTTCTCTTACTACTGTCCTGTATGTGCTCTTACTACTGTCCTGTATTTGCTCTTACTACTGTCCTGTATGTGCTCTTACTGCCCTGTATGTGCTCTTACTGCCCTGTATGTGCTCTTACTAGTGTCCTGTATGTGCTCTTACTACTGTCCTGTATGTGCTCTTACTACTGTCCTGTATGTGCTCTTACTAGTGTCCTGTATGTGCTCTTACTACTGTCCTGTATGTGCTCTTACTGCTGTCCTGTTTATGTGCTCTTACTACTGTCCTGTATGTGCTCTTACTACTGTCCTGTATGTGCTCTTACTAGTGTCCTGTATGTGCTCTTACTAGTGTCCTGTATGTGCTCTTACTACTGTCCTGTATGTGCTCTTACTGCTGTCCTGTTTATGTGCTCTTACTACTGTCCTGTTTATGTGCTCTTACTACTGTCCTGTGTGTGCTCTTACTACTGTCCTGTATGTGCTCTTACTACTGTCCTGTATTTGCTCTTACTACTGTCCTGTATTTGCTCTTACTACTGTCCTGTATGTGCTCTTACTGCTGTCCTGTTTATGTGCTCTTACTACTGTCCTGTTTATGTGCTCTTACTACTGTCCTGTATGTGCTCTTACTGCTGTCCTGTTTATGTGCTCTTACTACTGTCCTGTGTGTGCTCTTACTACTGTCCTGTATGTGCTCTTACTACTGTCCTGTATGTGCTCTTACTACTGTCCTGTATTTGCTCTTACTACTGTCCTGTATGTGCTCTTACTGCTGTCCTGTTTATGTGCTCTTACTACTGTCCTGTTTATGTGCTCTTACTACTGTCCTGTATGTGCTCTTACTACTGTCCTGTTTATGTGCTCTTACTGTCCTGTATGTGCTCTTACTACTGTCCTGTGTGTGCTCTTACTACTGTCCTGTATGTGCTCTTACTACTGTGCTCTTCCCACTGTCCTGTATGTGCGCTGCAACACCGACATTTCCCCACTGTGGGACTCTTTATCTATTCTTTGGTTCAATTTCAGAGGCTAACTTAGAATGTGGCTGTGGTAAAGTGCAGTCCGTACTCTGTGTATCCTACTGTACTCTGTATATCCTACTGTACTCTGTGTATCCTACTGTACTCTGTGTATCCTACTGTACTCTCTGCATCCTACTGTACTCTCTGTATCCTACTGTACTCTCTGTATCCTACTGTACTCTGTATATCCTACTGTACTCTCTGTATCCTACTGTACTCTCTGTATCCTACTGTACTCTCTGTATCCTACTGTACTCTCTGTATCCTACTGTACTCTCTGTATCCTACTGTACTCTGTGTATCCTACTGTACTCTGTGTATCCTACTGTACTCTGTGTATCCTACTGTACTCTCTGCATCCTACTGTACTCTCTGTATCCTACTGTACTCTCTGTATCCTACTGTACTCTGTATATCCTACTGTACTCTCTGTATCCTACTGTACTCTCTGTATCCTACTGTACTCTCTGTATCCTACTGTACTCTCTGTATCCTACTGTACTCTGTATATCCTACTGTACTCTGTGTATCCTACTGTACTCTGTGTATCCTACTGTACTCTGTGTATCCTACTGTACTCGGTGTAGACTTATAGTCCACATACATTATAAGGTAGTGACTGTATCCATGTTGTTATTGCTGTATCATATATATGTTGGACACACACACACACACACACACAAATTTAAACTTGGTGCATATATTTAAAATACATCAAAGAGCATTAAAAGTGAAGTGTTCATTATTCAGTTTGTGACGAACACCAAACGTGTGTAGCTTATTCTACGACAGCAGTGGTCTCGCTCATGGTTCTGATGCCGCAGCGAGTCCTTTCTGTCGGTGAAGAAACAGTGAATAAACAGTTTAGTTCCTCGACAGTTACTTTCTGTTGTACTTTGAGTCATGTCGTTTTAAAACTTCAGGAAAAGTTACATGTTTTCTTTTTCAAGTCAAAGATTCTTTTGATGAAAGTGAAGCAATAGATTAAGTCAAGAGTGAAACTATTAAAGATGAGATAAAACAAGTGAAAATGTGTTTAAAAGTAAAAGAATCACAGAATGAAGCTGTTTTTCTCTGTTACAAACGTCTACATTCAGTGAGTTTAAGATTGATTTATTTTGTCCCAGAGGAAATGTGTCTCAGGCTGCGACACTGAAACACACAACACAGAACACAGTAACGCAAACTTTCCTACAGATCATTCTCTACACTGCTCTAAAACACGAGCTGCTGCTTTTACCCAAACCAAAGTCAAATAATAATCTGTGACGCTGTTCTCTGTGGAAACAGGTGAAACCACAGGAGCCAGTTCTTCTGAAGACGTTTACTTTGAGACTCAAATGTGTTAAACATTGACCGCGTCGTCACAAAGTGCTCCTTGTGTCCGGGGCGATAACTTAATGACAAAGAAGCAAACCTCATTTATATACAGAAAAAACAACAGCGTTATGAAAAACGTTCCTGAGTGATTATTGTAAATACACTTCCCAAAGAAAAGCCGTCAGATTGCTCTGCTCTAGTGTGTAAGGACGGTCCTGGATGACTCTCTGGTGTGTGCAGCAGGAGGGGCCATCAGCCTCTCCTCCGGCCCCCGGAGCCTGAGCCGTGCGGTGCAGGAGCAGGTGACCTTCTGGGTGGAGGTGCAGTGTGACGGGACGCCCACCTTCCACTGGAGCTTCATGTCTGGGACGGTGAGCCGCTCCATCGCCTCCTGGAGCCCGGGGAACTTCTCCAACATCACGGCCGACTACAGCAGCAGGGTGCAGGCTTTCTCCAACGGCTCCATGGGCCTCTCCGACCTGCGGCTGCCGGACGCCGGCTTCTACGTGCTCACGGTGACCGAGGAGGGCGGAGCCACACGCGACCTGGGCTTCGTGCTCAAAGTCACAGGTGAGAAGCTGAGGGTTCCATCCGCTTCATTCATACTTCCAGAAGCTTCTCCTAATTCAAACTATAACATGTTTAGTTAATGACATAAAGGAACACATCCTGCTGATGATTAATTATTACACTAATGAAGAGCTGGGCTTTTGGTGATGAGTCTAACACTGAAAATGGACATTTTCTACTTTGTACTAATGCAAATGGTTCTTCCTCTGTATCCGTTGCCGGGTCATGAGGCAGCCGTCTGAGCCCACGTCAGGCTGAGAGACACAGACCTCTGAGACACAGACCCCTGAGACACAGACCTCTGAGACACAGACCTCTGAGACACAGACCCCTGAGACACAGACCCCTGAGACACAGACCCCTGAGACACAGACCCCTGAGACACAGACCCCTGAGACACAGACCCCTGAGACACAGACCCCTGAGACACAGACCCCTGAGACACAGACCCCTGAGACACAGACCTGCAGCCCAGGACGCCTCCACAGGGAGGAGTGTATCTAACAGAAGGCCTTTAACTCATATTGAAGGAGCTGTAAATCAGCACAGCTCCAGACTGAACATGTGACATCACTCTTCTCTCTTGTGCACACAGACATTTTATGACAGTGTTTATGTTGATCTTTCATGTTGAACCTTTGCAGAGGTGCTGTACGAGGACCTGCAGTACCTCTCGGTCTCCGCTCTGGCCCTGGGCTGTCTCGTCGCGCTGCTCATGTTCAGCGTGTGGCTCCTTGACAAAGTGTACCACCGCGTCAGGGTCTGGATGCGCCGGAAGCGTATGCCAGGTACATCCACACATGCTCAGGCTCTAGTGAACTAAACTCCCACAATTTAGAGTTTGTGAAACATAACAGATACGCTGATGTTCAAACCAAACGCTCTTAACCTCAAGCAATAGCATCATAAGCTACATTTAGTTTGTATTTATACATTTGGGGAAAGTAAATGATAAACCTGTTAAAGGAAAAAGATGATCCCAGAGTGTGATATCCCATTTCACCACCAGAGGGAGGTGTAGAATTTATTCATACACAGTACATTGAGCTGACATTCTTTATAACAAATTCAGAGGCAATATGAAATACAATAGAAAACTGCTCTGATCATCACAGAATAGTGCGGGGAGGATACTAGAGCTGGAGCAGGTTTTAGCTCCATCCATGCTGTGTTTGAAGAGGAACACTGTTGGAACATGGTGCAAAGCTCAAGGATGATTTCACTGAACGAGTCCAAACGCTGTGTTTTGTTGTTGCAGAGGCGCATTTGACGGAGCTGCAGCCGCTCTGACCTCCAGCCGCTCTGACCTCCAGCTGCGTCTCCCTCAGGACTCTGGCCACACGGGTCTGAAGGAGGACCCTCTGGACCGGGAGCACAGGGAGAGGTCATGGAGCCGGAGTCAGCGCCGCCATCAGCAGCTCCATCTTGTACACAAAGTTCCTGCCCTCCATCTTGCTCCAGTGCACCTCCCTGTACGGGCCCCGCAGGTGGCTCCACTTAGGCTCCAGCACCACGTCGCTCTTCTGCAGCTCTTTGCTGTGGTTTCTGGGGAACTGCACCAGAACCTTACAGCCGCTCTCTGGACCGTTACGCACTGCGGACGACAACAGAACATGTTCACAGGCTCCTGGATCTATACTTTGGATTTTTATGTTTATTGCTGAGAATGTCAAAGTAAAGAGCGTCACCACTGCCATCTACTGGGACCAGTGAGAACTGCATCCCCCAAAGAAAAGGAGGGGCAAGAGAAGTGCGAGAACGAGGGACGAGAGAAGTGCGAGAACGAGGGACGAGAAGCCTAGTGTACACTCGCGCGGCGCTGGTTACGCGGGACCTACGCAGCCACAGTTGCTGGTACACTCACGCGTTCCCCCTGCGGACTGTTTGAAGAGAATGTTGTAATCCCACAACCAACCACATGATGGCGATCTCACAGGAGTTGCCTGAGAAACCAAAGCCATTTACGCTGCTACATTCTCATCTTCAGAACAAAAATGGAGCTTCTCTGCGGCGGTGGCTGCGTAGTTAGACATTTTCGAGGGTGCGTGGCAGGCTACGCAAAGGCCTTGCGGTGATCCTTGCGTTACGTAAGTGACGTCACCACCGTTAGCTCCGCGCGACTATACACTAGGCTTAAAGTGTGGTTTAGGGTTAAGTGTTGAGGGAGAGCTGTACCTGCAATGGCGTAGTCTCCGTTGGGCGAGGCCACGGTGACGGCAGAGGCGTTGCCCACACTCTCGATGGCGCCCAGGCCCACGTGGTTACTGAAGCTCAGCACGTGCCAGCCCATGACTTTGGCGAGCTGCTGCACGGCATGGACCTGGTGCTGGGACATCTGCACACGGGACCAGAAAGGACCAGAGAGGAGTCATGTGACCGAACTGTGAAACATGAAGCTGCCTCTCGTACCTGCGACAGGAGGAAGTCCTGTAGCTCCTGCTCCTGATGGGACAGAGTGACCACACGACCGTCTCGATGCACCACACGGATCTGCTCCACCCCAATGTTCAGCTGCAGCTGGATGGACCTGCACCGAGACCAGGACCAGGACCGTGAGGACACTAGTAACACTGCCGTCTTCTACTTCTATTTGGATTTCACTGCGTGTTTTTATCAGACTGTTTTGAGCACGTTAAAACTGTTGAATCTTGGAAAATGCTGAATCATAGAAGCATGAGAGTTTTTGCCTCAACAGTTCCTGAATACTTTTACTCTTGAAGCGGATGTATCTTCTGTGATACTTTTACTGAATGTTATGTATTTTTCCATCATTGTGGTTCTGGGCGTCACACTCTGTAACGTCTACATGTTTTACTGTCGTTATGTAAATATCAGACGCATGCAGCTCTGTCAATAAAGTTCAACACTTACTTTCCTCCCTCCCTGAGTAAACAGTCTCACTAGCGCCCCCTGCCCAGAAGAATGAGACGACACATGACTCAAATGTTTTCTCCAGTTGAGAGCAGAAAGTGATGATTGATTTTAAAATAGTAACAGGTTTTAGAATTCAGCAGATGAGGGTGAGGAGCTGTGAAGGCCTCTAAATGAACAGAAGCTTTTCAAAGGTCAGAGTCTGTGGGTTTTGTGTGGAGTTTGCATGTTCTCCCTGTGTCTGTACAGAGTCTTTGCAGGACGGGTCAAATGCAGAGGACACATTTCTCTAAGGGATCAATACAAGTATAAACTATTGTTGCTCCTAATATCTAACTCGTCATGCACTGAGCACTGCCCACTGACCTGAATGAGCACTACTGCCCACTGACCTGAATGGGCACACTACTGCCCACTGACCTGAATGAGCACACTACTGCCCACTGACCTGAATGAGCACACTACTGCCCACTGACCTGAATGAGCACTACTGCCCACTGACCTGAATGAGCACTACTGTCCATTGACCTGAATGAGCACACTACTGCCCACTGACCTGAATGAGCACACTACTGCCCACTGACCTGAATGAGCACTACTGCCCACTGACCTGAATGAGCACACTACTGCCCACTGACCTGAATGAGCACACTACTGCCCACTGACCTGAATGAGCACACTACTGCCCACTGACCTGAATGAGCACACTACTGCCCACTGACCTGAATGAGCACACTACTGCCCACTGACCTGAATGAGCACACTACTGCCCACTGACCTGAATGAGCACACTACTGCCCACTGACCTGAATGAGCACACTACTGCCCACTGACCTGAATGAGCACACTACTGCCCACTGACCTGAATGAGCACTACTGTCCATTGACCTGAATGAGCACTACTGCCCACTGACCTGAATGAGCACACTACTGCCCACTGACCTGAATGAGCACACTACTGCCCACTGACCTGAATGAGCACACTACTGCCCACTGACCTGAATGAGCACACTACTGCCCACTGACCTGAATGAGCACTACTGTCCATTGACCTGAATGAGCACTACTGCCCATTGACCTGAATGAGAACTGCTGCCCATTGACCTGAATGAGCGGACCTACTTGCAGATCTGCTCGTATCCCTGTGACGTGATGAGAACTTTGACGCTGGACTCGTACACGTCGTTGATGTTGGACCAGTGCGCCTGGATCTGCGGGTCTTCAATCCGGCTGGCCAGGCTGTCGATGGTGCGCGCCGTCCTAGGGAAAACACGTTTACCATGAAGCAAAGCACCAGGATGAACCAGATTCACCAGTACCATATGTGTCTGTGCAGGTCTGTGGGGATTTAGAATGGGTTTTATACCTTTATACAGTGCCTTGCGAAAGTATTCGGCCCTCTTGAACCTTTCAACATTTCGCCACCTTTCAGGCTTCAAACATAAAGATATAAAAAAAATATTTTTTGTCATGAATCAACAACAAGTGGGACACAATCGTGAAGAGGAATGAAATTTGTTGGATAATTTAAACTTTTTTAACAAATAAAAAACTGAAAAGTGGGGCGTGCAATATTATTCGGCCCCTTTACTTTCAGTGCAGCAAACTCATTCCAGAAGTTCAGTGAGGATCTTTGAATGATCCAATGTTGTCCTAAATGACTGATGATGATAAATAGAATGCACCTGTGTGTAATCAAGTCTCCGTATAAATGCACCTGCTCTTTGATAGTCTCAGGGTTCTGTTTAAAGCACAGAGAGAACCATGAAGACAAAGGAACACACCAGGCAGGTCTGAGATACTGTTGTGGAGAAGTTTAAAGCCGGATTTGGATACAAAAAGATTTCCCAAGCTTTAAACATCTCAAGGAGCACTGTGCAAGCAATTATATTGAAATGGAAGGAGTATCAGACCACTGCAAATCTACCAAGACCGGGCCATCCCTCCAAACTTTCATCTCAAATAAGGAGAAGACTGATCAGAGATGCAGCCAAGAGGCCCATGATCACTCTGGATGAACTGCAGATAACTACAGCTGAGGTGGGGATGGTGTGTTCAGGGTGATGAGCTGTGTTGCTTTTACGCCAAACATATCGTTTTGCATTGTGGCCAAAAAGTTTGATTTTGGTTTCATCTGACCAGAGCACCTTCTTCCACATGTTTGGTGTGTCTCCCAGGTGGCTTGTGGCAAACTTTAAACGAGACTTTTTATGGATATCTTTGAGAAATGGCCACTCTTCCATAAAGGCCAGATTTGTGCAGTGCACGACTGATTGTTGTCCTATGGACAGACTCTCCCACCTCAGCTGTAGTTATCTGCAGTTCATCCAGAGTGATCATGGGCCTCTTGGCTGCATCTCTGATCAGTCTTCTCCTTGTTTGGGATGAAAGTTTGGAGGGACGGCCGGGTCTTGGTAGGTTTGATACTCCTTCAATTTCAATATAATTGCTTGCACAGTGCTCCTTGAGATGTTTAAAGTTTGGGAAATCTTTTTGTATCCAAATCCGGCTTTAAACTTCTCCACAACAGTATCTCGGACCTGCCTGGTGTGTTCCTTTGTCTTCATGGTTCATTCAAAGATCCTCTCTGAACTTCTGGAGTGAGTTTGCTGCACTGAAAGTAAAGGGGCCGAATAATATTGCACACCCCACTTTTCAGTTTTTTATTTTTTTTTTAAGTTTAAATTATCCAATAAATTTTGTTCCACTTCACGATTGTGTCCCACTTGTTGTTGATTCATGACAAAAAAATTAAATTTTATATCTTTATGTTTGAAGACTGAAATGTGGCAAAATGTTGAAAGGTTCAAGGGGGCCGAATACTTTCGCAAGGCACTGTAGCTTATTTTTTTTAATGCAATGGAAGCGGCAGCGAGTTCTAAGTCCCTCTGAAACAGTTATGTTTTATATTGTTATTTCTACTTGTAAACACTGATCCAGACCAGAGCAGAGAGGATTTATGGTCCAAACCAAGGAGATCGAGAGTAAATCCACAGGAAGAATGCTAACTTTGTTTTAAAATGCTAATAAAGAAATGCGCATTTTCACTTTGGACCAGAGCAGAGCAAATGGTCTGAACCGAGCAGCTTCTCCACTTCTGCTGCTGTGACCTGAAGGACTGTTGTAATATTACTATTGTTAGCTACTTTTAGAATTATGTATTTCTGCTGCTGAACACCTGCATTTCTCCTACCGGGGTTAATAAAGTATCTATCCCTGTTTTGAACCCAGGCTGAGGTCCACATGGTCACTGAGAGCGACAGGAGCCGACACACTCATTATTCAACAGTATCAAAGGAAACACTAGGTGCACCTGCTGCGGAGGAACACGTGCTTGGCCTGTTTGATGATCTTCTCCAACAGGCCCTGTCCCTGCTGCACCGACGAGATCTGACTCTTGGAGAAGGCCTGAGGTCCAGCCAGACGCAGACGCTTGTGTCCGAACGGAGCAGTGGCCGGCTGCGGCATGAACACCGAGCTCAGCTGCTGCTTGTGGAACTGCACACACAAAAACACACACACCCAGACACATGCACACACAGACACACACACACACAGAGACATATGCACACACAGACACACACACACAGAGACATATGCACACACATGCACACACAGAGAGACCCACACAAACAATTCCATGTTATTGTGTTCCAATGACTTGCTTTTCTAAGTTGCTGTTAGTGAATCTGCAGTTGTCACCTCTCGGATCATCTGGTGCAGGTTGTGTTCCAGGACGTACAGATGGTCGTCAGCTTTGTGCTTCTCTGGAGCCGCTCGAAGGCTCTTCTTGTCTCCTGATGAATGGCACAGGGAGATGGACAGCTGCAGACCTGCAGGACCACAATTTGTTTTGCTCTGATCGATTGGCCTCTTTTCTAAAATCCAATGATGTAAAAACACTTATATCCAGACTTTCTCTCATGGAGGCTGTGGCTGAAGGCCGCGTCAGTCTGAGGTTTACAGACTGAATCCTACACGTCCTCCTGCTGTGAGCTGCTTGTAACCATGAATCACAGATCCTTATTAGACAAGTATAATGCGCTCACGTTGTTCCTCGCTGCACATGTTTTGTTACACAAAGCAAAAACAAAACAGGAATCCAGGAAATGAAATGTTTCCTGCAGCCTGTGTGAAAAGTAAACAGAATATTGTGTGATTCACTTTGATCAGAGATTATAAAAGGCAGAACATGGGATCCTTTTTAATGGAACACAGTCAAGTTCCATTATTGATTTAATCCCAAACTGATCTCAAATCGTCTATAAACCAAACTGGGTCTTTTCTGGAAACAACATGTTACAGACAGTTTCCCTGACGATAACATCCATGTTCTCACAGAAAGTATTCATTTTATTATGAACAACTGCTTTTACTGTGAAAATAATTATCCCCAATGTCTGCTGCACCAGTGGCGTACTGGTGTCCTGCTGTACAGCGCCGGTGTGGGTACCAGGTCTGGTGTGGGCTGTACCAGGTGGTACCAGGCCTGGTGTGAGTGGTACCAGGTGATACTAGACCTGATGTGGGCGGTACCAGGTGGCACCAGGCCTGGTGTGGGCTGTACCAGGTGATACTAGACTTGATGTGGGCGGTACCAGGCGGCACCAGGCCTGATGTGAGCTGTACCCATAGACTGTATATATTAATGGACAGAGTCACGCCTATCTCCGCCGTTCTAACTAATGGGCCAAAAAATGTGCTCTACTGGAGCAATCCAAAATGGCCGCGAGTGGTCCCGCCCACAAGAAAATTGTGAAAAAACGCATCTGCGCATGCGTCAGCCGGCGCAGCTCCATTCATTTGAACGAGAGACTTCAAAAATTCCCAGCGAGTAAACTAGAGTGGACCAAAACACTCCCTCAGCATTGACACACATGTGGAACGGAGCTTTGGGCCAAGAGCCAACTTTTGGTCCATCCTGTAAAGACGTTTTTGAGAGGTCTGCCAATGCTATATGTTAGCATTGGCTAATTCTTCTTCTGGGTCCACCCCCACAGGCCCGGGGTGGTATTGCAGCATGTCAGCGCACGTCATTTTGGCCACTTTTGAGCCGGGACCCTCCCCCACTGGCTGTACCTGGGAAGGGCTGGGAGATGATCTGGTTCTTGACCACGATGTGAGGGATCTGGGACTTGATCTGAACGGCTTCTCTGGAAAGCTGCGCAAAGATCTCTTTACACAACAACACGTTCTGAGCCGCCTCCAGCTTCACGTGCCACGCCTGGGCCCCTGGAGGAGAGAGCCGTCAGGAGAGAGCAGTCAGGAGAGAGCCGTCACATCAGGAGAGAGACGTCACGTCAGGAGAGAGCCGTCACGTCAGGAGAGAGCCGTCACGTCAGGAGAGAGCCGTCACGTCAGGAGAGAGCCGTCACGTCAGGAGAGAGCCGTCACGTCAGGAGAGAGCCGTCACGTCAGGAGAGAGCCGTCACGTCAGGAGAGAGCCGTCACGTCAGGAGAGAGCCGTCACGTCAGGAGAGAGACGTCACGTCAGGAGAGAGCCGTCACGTCAGGAGAGAGACGTCACGTCAGGAGAGAGACGTCACGTCAGGAGACGTCACGTCAGGAGAGAGCCGTCACGTCAGGAGAGAGCCGTCACGTCAGGAGAGAGACGTCACGTCAGGAGACGTCACGTCAGGAGAGAGCCGTCACGTCAGGAGAGAGCCGTCACGTCAGCAGAGAGCCGTCACGTCAGCAGAGAGCCGTCACGTCAGCAGAGAGCCGTCACGTCAGGAGAGAGACGTCACGTCAGGAGAGAGACGTCACGTCAGGAGAGAGACGTCACGTCAGGAGAGAGACGTCACGTCAGGAGAGAGACGTCACGTCAGGAGAGAGACGTCACGTCGGGAGAGAGACGTCACGTCGGGAGAGAGACGTCACGTCGGGAGAGAGACGTCACGTCGGGAGAGAGACGTCACGTCGGGAGAGAGACGTCACGTCGGGAGAGAGACGTCACGTCGGGAGAGAGACGTCACGTTGGGAGAGAGACGTCACGTCGGGAGAGAGACGTCGGGAGAGAGCAGTCGGGAGAGAGCAGTCGGGAGAGAGCCGTCGGGAGAGAGCCGTCGGGAGAGAGGCGTCGGGAGAGGACAGAGAGGAGCGTCGTGTCGTAGGGAGTCACTGAGAGGAGGCTGATAAACACTTGTGTTCTTTATAATATCTTTCATGGAACTACAACAAATATTTGTTCAAACGAGACCTTTAACAGTTTTGTACAGTTTTAGTTTGTAATCTATAATTACTACTATCATCATTTTCAATGTCTTCAAACCAAATTGAAAGTGTCTTCTCTTGAAATGAGACAGAAACTGCATTTGAAAGACTGAATGTTATAAAGTTTATTAAAGGCTTTAGAACAGATTTGAAATGATTAAAGAACTTAATGACTTCTGTATTAGCATATGGCATTACATACCTGAAATTAGGTATGTTACTCCCATTTTTAGTTTCTCAAGGAAATAAGCATTTCATTGAATGAATTCTATATTTTTTTTAACCCAACAGATATTTATAGTCAAATAAAATAATTGGCGACAGTTTAAAAAAAAAAAAGGGACTGTCATCAGTCTATATTTCTGCGTCAATACCACCAGCAACCCTCAACCCGACATTAGCTTGGGTAGAGTTTTGGTGCGTATAGTTTGTGTGTGTAAAGTTTGTGTGTGTAGAGTTTTGGTGCGTATAGTTTGTGTGTGTAGAGTTTGTGTGTGTAGAGTTTTGGTGTGTAGAGTTTTCGTGCGTATAGTTTGTGTGTGTAGAGTTTTCGTGTGTAGAGTTTTCGTGCGTATAGTTTGTGTGTGTAGAGTTTTCGTGCGTATAGTTTGTGTGTGTAGAGTTTTCGTGTGTAGAGTTTTCGTGCGTATAGTTTGTGTGTGTAGAGTTTTCGTGCGTATAGTTTGTGTGTGTAGAGTTTTCGTGTGTAGAGTTTTCGTGCGTATAGTTTGTGTGTGTAGAGTTTTCGTGTGTATAGTTTGTGTGTGTAGAGTTTTGGTGTGTAGAGTTTTCGTGCGTATAGTTTGTGTGTGTAATGTCACCTGCTTTGGTTTTGGGCTGCCTCCGGAACAGGCTGATGGTTCCCAGGTCCCCGATGTCAGGGGCTTGTTTCTGGATAGACACCTGTTTGACCCGAGGAGAGAGGAGAGAGTCAAAGCTGGTCCTGATCTGAGGCCAGTGGAAGTGAGTGTTTCTCAATCTGTGGTGCGGAGAACTGTGCACACGTCTACTACATGTAACACTGGTCCAGAAAGGAATTAAAAAACAGAAAGGTATTCTGGGAGGGCAACACCGAGGAAGCAGCTGCTCAGTAAAAACTTTGCTGTGTGTGTGTGTGTGTGTGTGTGTGTGTGTGTGTGTGTGTGTGTGTGTGTGTGTGTGTGTGTGTGTGTGTGTGTGTGTGTGTGTGTTGTTGATATATCCCTTTTTGTTTCATCATCCTGCTTTGAAAACATTTGTTTAACTTGTCATAGTGTTTAGTAATGTATTGCACGTGTGTGTGTGTGTACTATTTATTTGAAGTATTTTGATCGGAGAAGAATACACATGGGAAAAGCCTAGTGAGGCAGGCAGTGTCTGTGCCTCACCACTAGGGGTGATAGTGAGCATGAAGTTCATACCCGAGATGCTAACACAGACTGTAAACTATCAGTCCTGTCGGTGCTATTTCTTTTGCTGGAAAATGGATGATTGGATTAAGGATTTGTTTCTCAACTGGACTTTCAATCAAAACAAGAAGTAATATAGACAAGACCCCCGCTGGACTGACGAGGTTAGTCCGGCCGCGGGGGAGGAGTCTGTCAGTGTCTGTGTTTTATATTGAAAATGTACTAGAGCTGCATAAAAGTGCTTCCCCGAAAACCACTGATTTAACACTGCTCTTAAGTTCTGCAACTTGTTTAATTCTTGTTTGTGTTCCTTGTGTTTCTCTTTCTCTCTCCTCGCATCTCTCGCTCTTTGCGTCACTCTCTCTCCTAGCGTCTCTCTCTTTCCCCCCTTGCATCTCTCGCTCCTTGCGTATCTCTCTCCCTCCCTCCCTCCTCCCGTCTCTCGCACCTGTGCTTTGCAAAGACTTGGTTTGATGCCGAGCGGAGAGCCAGCGTCTAGATGTGTTGTGGGATTTTTAACAACATGCTGGTTCTTATCTTTACAGTATATAATGTTTGTGGACGTTTTTGCATTGACGATTTAATGCTGTTTTATTAGAATAATGATGGTAAATCTGACTGTTTAAAGTCAGTGCCTCCACAATCACAAACCTTACCACACGTCCCGGCTGCAGACTATGAACTGCAACGTGGAATGATTGGTTCAGTTTCTTATTCATAACTCTTCTGTCATTGTTTTAATGCCAACATCAAATATGAAAACAAATATCAGGGTGTTTTAGATCAAGCAGAGAGTTTGATCACATTTGATGCAGAAGTGTGAGAGATTCCAAACGCTTCAGATCCTTTTTCAGGCCTCAGTGAGAGACCGACTGACCTTGATATAAGCCGAGCCCTCCAGGTCACTGGGAATCTGCACATTGAGGGGGCAGTAGTCTTCAGGGACCTTCTTGTCCAGGTCGATGTCTGTGTTTTTGATGACCTCAAATGTGCCGTGGTGTGGGAACAGCGAGCCTGGAACAGACACACATGCTTTATTCCGGTTTACTCCATGGACTGACTCAGACATGGGGCTGTGTCTGTGTTTAGTGTATATTTGATATCTAAATTTAAGGTCTTAAAGCTTTCATGAGTTTGAAAGACCTGGGGGTCAGTCCATATACAACATCTGAGGTAAGGGAGATAGTTCTAATATTAAAAGTGATGTATATTTAATTGTGTTGAAAACAGGTGCCGTGCACGGGGCTGACCTGCGCTGCGGTAGCTCAGGTCTCCCAGGATCTTGTCTCCCACTTTACGGAGCTTCCACTGAGAGCGCAGACGCAGAAGCTCAGAGTTGAAGTCTCTCTGGCGCCGGTTCTCCAGGTTCTCAGCCACAGACTTGCTGAGCTTCTCCGCCCCCCTCAGGAGCACGTGGGCTGCAGTGGCCAAAGAGCGCTTCTTACTGATGAGCTGCAGGACCTGCGGGCTCTGGACAACACAGGCAAGACTGTTTCAGTTTAAATAAATGAATGTAATACTGTGTTTCATGTCTCAGCCCTACTTCACACTTCCACACTTTAAATCAGAAACATTACATCATGGGAGTGATCGTTTTTCTTTTAAGAACCTAAAGTCAGGTTAAAAGACTTGTTAGAGCAAGGCGCAACAAAAAAGAAACAGCAGACTCCACCTCTTTCCTGAGTGAGTCCAGTTCTATTTCATCCCTCCTGACGGCCAGAGGGCGGAGCACAGCAATGTTCCTTTCTATGCACCGCCCTCTGGCGGTCAGGAGGGATTCATAGAAACGTGGTTAATACATAACCTTTATTTTAACATGAAGATTTGAGGAATTGGGTGGTGTTATTTAACAAATGTCCCCTGAAGTCGGGAGAGCAGACATGTGTGTGTGTCTGTGAGGCTTGTGTGTGCAGACCTTGGCCGCAGACGGGTCCTGGGACACGGGGTCCAGGGCCATGTACTTCTTCTCCTTGAGCACACTCAGGACGTCGTACAGCACACACATCTCGGTCAGGGCGCCCCTCAGGTTGTTCCTCACAGAGTCCCAGGGCCACAGAGACGGCTGGAACTTCACCGTACCTGCACACACACGTGTCTGGTGACTGCCGTCTGAGGAAGGAGCATGCTTCCATCTACTCAGAGGTGAGCTCAGAGATAAGTTAGACATTACTTACAGAATAAAGGACATAATGTTATATGTAGAAAGGTTCAGCAGATTTATGGTTTTGTTAGAGGTTTACATTTGGATTACGTCCATTTGACATTTTCCAGTATCGTGCATTACAATGTAAATAGCACACTTTATCCGTGGAGAATGAATGACAAGTCAATGGACTCAAGAGATTTTTTTCTAATGGATCTGAATCCAGCCTTTCATGTGCACATACAATTATTCTCATTTCATTGGAATCTGTCCAGTTAAATCTAAATAGTTGCAATGAATAGTTCAGGAACAAGTCCCACATAGAGCTTTCAAACTGTTCATAATATTAAAAACTTAAATTTGCAGGACTTGATGAGCTCAAATAATGTTCAGGGAATCTGAAGACTCGCATCCAATTCCTGAGAGGGAAGCTATGTATCTGCCTTACTGTAAAAACTACTTCAAATCAATGTATATCACAACCTGTAATAACAGATTAGTTAAATACATGTTAACCTAATTTTAAAAAGAGAAGATTTGAAGAGGTACAGGATGCTCTTAGCACAGAGGGCTAAGGGAAAGAGTTGTAGGGTCAGAGAGTGTTTGGGTCTGTATCTTGTGTGAATTTTTGGGGAGAGGCTGGAGTCAAATAGGTATCTAACCCTTTTCACACTATGCATGTTGTTTGCAGTAAGTAAGTAAGTAATCTTTATTTATATACCGCCTTCACTGCACATCGGAGTCTCAAAGCGGTTTACAATTGTTATTTTTGGGAGCGGGGTCGCCAGTACAGGAGGCACATGCCAGACCTATTGTACATATTTTTAGTGGTAGGGGAAACCGGAGCACCCGGAGGAAACCTACGCAGACACGCGGGGAGAACATGCAAACTCCACTCAGAAAGGCCCTGGTCCAACCGGGATTCGAACCCAGGACCTTCTTGCTGAGAGGCGAGAGTGCTATCCACTCAGCCACCGTGCACACACCTTTGTAATCAATAATAATAATAATAACATCCATCCATCCATTTTCTACCCTTTAATCCATTTCTGGGTCAGGGGGGTGGCAGTCAGAGATGCCACCCAAGTCTCATAGCACCAGCCCCTCACTGACCCTCTGCAGGTGGTGAGTCCACAGGAGGACGGCTGCTCTCTGAGTGTGAGCATAGCCTTGATCTTTCAGTTGGGGCTTTGGGCAAAGTGGGGTTAAGTGTCTTGCCCAAGGACACAACGACAGCAGTCATCAGTGGGAGTTGATGTAGAAGGTGCAGAGGTGGGAATAATAATATTAATAATAATAATAATGATGATGATGATGTCATGGCGTTGCTTGGTACGAGCTGCCGTGGTCTGTACCTTCGTCGTCCTCCGCCTCGTGCTTGCTCCACTCGCGCTCCTTGGGCTCCACCTCCGCTTCCTCCTCTGATCCTGAGCCCTGGCTGAAGTCGATGCGCTGGGCCAGGCGGGATAGGTTCTGGGACATGGACAGGGGAGGCACGTAGGTCTCTGTCCCGTCCAGGGCCACCTCCTGCACCTGCTTCTCACAGGACGACTCGATGCTCACGTGCACCGCCGGGCCCCCCGACATCCTACGGCAAAAATGGGCTTTAGGACAGGACAGGATCACAGCCTCAGTCCTGGATCTACAGCCTCAGTCCTGGATCTACAGCCTCAGTCCTGGATCTACAGCCTCAGTCCTGGGTCTACAGTCTCAGTCCTGGGTCTACAGCCTCAGTCCTGGGTCTACAGCCTCAGTCCTGGGTCTACAGCCTCAGTCCTGGGTCTACAGCCTCAGTCCTGGGTCTACAGCCTCAGTCCTGGGTCTACAGCCTCAGTCCTGGATCTACAGCCTCAGTCCTGGGTCTACAGCCTCAGTCCTGGATCTACAGCCTCAGTCCTGGGTCTACAGCCTCAGTCCTGGATCTACATCCTCAGTCCTGGATCTACAGCCTCAGTCCTGGGTCTACAGCCTCAGTCCTGGATCTACAGCCTCAGTCCTGGGTACTACACAGCCTCAGTCCTGGATCTACAGCCTCAGTCCTGGGTCTACAGCCTCAGTCCTGGATCTACAGCCTCAGTCCTGGGTACTACACAGCCTCAGTCCTGGATCTACAGCCTCAGTCCTGGATCTACAGCCTCAGTCCTGGATCTACAGCCTCAGTCCTGGGTCTACAGCCTCAGTCCTGGATCTACATCCTCAGTCCTGGATCTACAGCCTCAGTCCTGGATCTACAGCCTCAGTCCTGGATCTACAGCCTCAGTCCTGGATCTACAGCCTCAGTCCTGGGTCTACAGCCTCAGTCCTGGATCTACATCCTCAGTCCTGGATCTACAGCCTCAGTCCTGGATCTACAGCCTCAGTCCTGGATCTACAGCCTCAGTCCTGGGTCTACAGCCTCAGTCCTGGGTCTACAGCCTCAGTCCTGGATCTACATCCTCAGTCCTGGATCTACAGCCTCAGTCCTGGATCTACAGCTGAATTGTTTAATTTCTGTAACACTACAGTATTGGTTGTTATCTGATTTGTGACACTTCTGTGACACATCCATGGTTCAATCATTGTGTGATGCTAACATGCTAATCCTGCTAACATGCTAAGCGCACTCAGAGCCTTCTTGTGTCCGCCTAAAGAGCCCAGATCTCCTGCATCTATATAGATCAGACCCCCTCACCTGCTCAGCTCTGGAAAACCACAGTCGAAGATACGAAAAAACAAACAGAGAAAAGACCCAAGTGTGCGGGGATTCTATGGGACAGGCTTGTTCGCGGCATACACGCACACAGCGCCCTCTAGCGGACCTGGATATGGGGAAAAGGTAAAATACAAGCATCATTCTTGTTATAATACAGTTTTTCAACCAGTGGGTCATGGCATGTTAGTGTGCCTTGAGATGGTGTTTGGTGTGCATTTGGCCATGATCCAATTGTCAAAATAGTCAAATAATAGACATAATTTAGTTTAACATCCACTGTCGCCCTTACCTTTAAATACAGAAAAAGGATAACGCCAACTGGAAGCAATTTAACAGTATGTTGCTATGGTTACTAGCTCGTGCTCTCTACCCATGGGTCCTAATGGGTGGTTAGTGTCATGTACTGACGTCAGATTACGTCTATACGTGATGACGTATGAGAGGGAGGTGGTTTTATACGGGATGTCTTAAGTGTGGCATGTTGATGGTCCGCATGGTTAAAAATAAAGCAACTAAAAGAATGCCTGGTCATGATTCAATTCAGAGTGCAGTATCTAATTTAGTAATAAGGTTAGCACACAACAGTTAGTTGTGCCTCTGCCTAACCCTAACCCTCTCTACTCAAAGATAATTTGATTTCAATAAATAAATAATGACATAAAATAAATTACACAAAGACACAAAGTTATGCAGATAATGTATTTACATGAGCGAAGCAACTACTCTTCCAAAAGTAAAAGCTGTCGACTGCTCTGGAAGGTCTAGTGTTTCATGTTTGGGGGGCCACAGTGGCTCAGTTGGTAGAGCATTGGCCTTTAGACAAATTTGTAGGATTTGGTTTTATTTTTGATGAGATATGTTTGTGGAAAAAGCAAATTGATAGTATTCTTGTTAAATGGGAAATAGGTTGTAAAGGTTGTTGTCTTTATTGTGTTAAAGTTAGAGATTTTACACTTGCTTCTTTATTATGATCAAGCTAGAGATTTCATACTTGCTTCTTTATTATGCTAAAGATAGAGATTGTATTTATTTTAGTACAGAGTCATTCTTAACTTATCTCGTGCTGTGTGCTTCTCATTCAAACTGTCCTGCAACACTGAAACTTCCCCGCTGTGGGACAAAAAAAGTATCTTAATCTTAATTTTGAACGATGCGTGAACTCTCCACACCAGCAGGGGGCGCTGTGCAAAATCCGAAACAACAGCAACAGTAGCGATCCAAACACTGGACGTCAACTTTTTAGAACCAGCGCCGCGTATCTGTGAGAAACACCGTCCCTGCTCTGCCTCTGCTCGGGATCATCTGTGGACTGTGCTGTGTCGTGCTGTGTCGTGCTGATCCGTGCTGTCCCTGGTAAAGCCGGGTCCTTACAGCGGCGGAGGCGGGAGGATGGCGCGGGCTCTTCAAAGCAGCCTCGGGACCAGAGACAGGCTCGGTACCGTCTCTGGCTCACGGTAGATGCGGCGGTGGCTGAGGAGAGATCACAGAACCTCATTATGAAAAGAAAAGAGGTGAAAGTGGTGAAAATGAGCCCCAACGAGCATGCGCAGTGGGTCAGGCAGGAGCAGGAGAGCAGGAGGAGGCTGAGGATTCAACAGGTCTGTGCATCACTAACATGTGTTATCACTGCTGACCTACAGAGGTCTGTGCATCACTAACATGTGTTATCACTGCTGACCTACAGAGGTCTGTGCATCACTAACATGTGTTATCACTGCTGACCTACAGAGGTCTGTGCATCACTAACATGTGTTATCACTGCTGACCTACAGAGGTCTGTGCATCACTAACATGTGTTATCACTGCTGACCTACAGAGGTCTGTGCATCACTAACATGTGTTATCACTGCTGACCTACAGAAACACACGTCCCTGGGTTGGTCATTGGACACACAGCTTATTTACCATTCAATTTGTTTTTGTGTTGCCCTAATCACAACAGCAGTCATCTCAGCAGGACCATACAAAGTTGTGAGTTCATCAACAGCAAATCAGTGAATCAGTTTTAAAACAGGAAATGCAATCATAACAAACAAGTGCGGTAAAGTTAGTTTTATAATGGATATTCGACACATTCAACACATTCAAATAATCTATTTAGCCCTTTGCCCTTTAGGCCCTTTGATTTCAAAACACGTTGGGTTTATGTATTCTGGTCCCCCACACATGAACCAAAGCCTCTTTTTTCAATATTCCCTTTGGTTGATTTTTTATGATTTTTTTGCAAAGGGCCTAAAGGGAAAAGGGCTAAATAGATTAAAGGGAATATTTTAATAGCAAAAAAATAATAAAAAATCAACCAAAGGGAATATTGAAAAAAGAGGCTTTGTTTCATGTGTGGGGGACCAGAATACATAAACCCAAATTGTTTTGAAATAAAAGGGCCTAAAGGGCAAAGGGCTAAATAGATTAAAGGGACTTTTTAATAGCAAAAAAATCATAAAAAAGCAACCAAAGGGAATATTGAAAAAATAAGCTGTGTTTCATGTGTGGGGGACCAGAATACATAAACCCAACGTGTTTTGAAATCAAAGGGCCTAAAGGGCAAAGGGCTAAATAGATTATTTGAATGTGTTGAATGTGTCGAATATCCATTATAAAACTAACTTTACCGCACTTAACAAACACACATGGCCTCTAAGGAGCGGGATGATCCATGCCAATATTTCTTGATAAATGTCCTGGATCATCGCTGTCCTAAGTGATGGTCTTTTTATGCAGCACTAAGTCTTTCTATCAACAGGTAAAGCTGTGTCTCTACTGCAGTGGAAGTTAATATTATGCTTTTTAATTATGTTGCATGTAGCGTGTGAAGAAAATTGGTCTGAGTACCAATCCTTGTGGCCCACAGAATGGGGCTGTTCCTCTGAGACCTACTGTATGTCACATTCTAGTCTCTGCAGTAGAATGTTGTGGTCTACTGTGTCACATGCAGCTGAGACCCAGTAGGACCAACACTGAAGCTAGTATTAAGTCATGTGACCTTGACTAGTGCTGTTTCAATGCTATGATGAGCTCTGAAAGATTTCAAATGTATTATTATGCTCTGGGTGGCGCCATACACTTCAGATAGAAAAGGAATAATTTATGGTGTCTGTAATTTAATATCCACTACTGTACTGACACAATGATGGTCAAATCCTTGGGTACGGCTGCTTTGGTTATGCATAGAAATTCTACTGTCTATGATTAGAAGTGTCAAATGCTCTGAATATTCTTGTTTGAGAGAGAGTCTAAAGTCCTCAATTACCGCAAACTACATCAAGTACAAGTAGTCAATAGTACATTATCTTAATAAAGCATCTTTCTGTCTCCTTGTTTGTGAAAATCAATCAGTACATCAGAACGTGCTATCAGCCCCTGGACAAGTCTGATGAATTAAAGTGGGCTTCTTTCTAAAAGTTGAACTATGACCTGATCCTGTATGTTACACAGGTGCGCGAGCAGCAGCGGCACATCGCCCGCTCCGTCCGTCAGAGCGTGGAGCAGAGGAGGCAGCAGGAGCTGTCTCTGCTGGAGGAGCAGCTCCGACAGCAGTGGGAGCAGCAGCAGGAGGAGCGCCTCCACAACCTCCAAGCACTGTACCAGGAGAACCTGCTTCTGCTGGGACAGGGACACCGCAACGCACGGGAAAATGTACCTGTGCTCTCTGTTCTGCTGTACCTCTGCTCTCTGTCCTTCTGTAGGATTTACAACTGATTTACAAATTATTATTATAATTTATTGTTTTTACTAGGTTCATGTTGTGTGATTATAAAGGATGTGGTTGTTTCCATTGTTATAACTGGCATACTGCAGTCAAGGCTCGGGGCACATACTTATATGTGCAGTTCTATTATAAACATGTTTAGGGCTGATGCAAGCAATAATTTTAGGAATTGGTGCTGCGTCTTGTGTCCCTCTGACGTCTGTATAAGTCTGATGTGTCTTCTGTCCCTCTGACGTCTGTATAAGTCTGTCTTCTTTCCTCTGACGTCTGTATAAGTCTGTGTCTTCTTTCCTCTGACGTCTGTATAAGTCTGTGTCTTCTGTCCCTCTGACGTCTGTATAAGTCTGTGTCTTCTATCCTCTGACGTCTGTATAAGTCTGTGTCTTCTATCCTCTGACGTCTGTATAAGTCTGTGTCTTCTATCCTCTGACGTCTGTATAAGTCTGTCTTCTTTCCTCTGACGTCTGTATAAGTCTGTCTTATTTCCTCTGACGTCTGTATAAGTCTGTGTCTTCTGTCCTTTGACGTCTGTATAAGTCTGTGTCTTCTGTCCTTTGACGTCTGTATAAGTCTGGGCTCCTGTGTCATGTGCAGGAGGTGGACATGGGCGTCATCCTGCAGCAGCAGCAGGAGGACCAGCAGAAGGCTGAGGAGCGTTACCATAAAGCCCTGAAGGAGCTTCAGCTGCAGAAGCTGCAGCAGCAGCAGAGCCAGAGCCGGTAACAACACACTACACACTATACACAAATCCCTTTTAAGTGAAGTGTGAAGTATTTGTACTCTGTGATTGATTCTGAATACCGTCAGAATTTCTACAACTTTGCTTCTTTCAATGTTTACATTGAGCCAATATTCACAGAATTTAATTTCCTGCCTTTACCAAGAGATGGATGTGTTTCACTAAAGCTGAGGATCAGATGCAGGTCTCGAGGTTCTACTTTGCTTCTCTCATTAGTTTTCCCATCATGTTTGTTCTGTCACATCTTTAGATCAGATTTTTCAGACAGAAAAATGAAAAGAGAGACCTCGGCCGATCAGCTCTTAGCCCAAAAAGTCAAATAGAGACTCACTGGGCTCTTTCTTTTAAGAGAATCCAAAAAATCTCTATTCTGTTACTTTACAATAGTTTTGTAAAAGTCCTGAAGGTCACATGACTCTGACTCAGGTCGACTGAAGCTCGGAGGAGGGTCCTGCAGCTGGAGAAGATCAGAGCAGCTGAGGTGGCCCGCCTCCCCCCGCGCCCCCCCCAGGCCCTGCACTCACAGGTACAACCCCCCCCAGGCCCTGCACTCACAGGTACAGACCTACCCCCCCCCCCCCCCCCCCCCCCAAGGCCCTGCACTCACAGGTACAGACCCCCACAACACGTCGCTGCTGCCTACAGTCAAACTCCCATGCGCCCACAGAGCAGTGTGTGTGAACACAATCCAAACACTGAAGCGTGTCCTCAGGCTGAAGTGCAGGGACATGTGTAAAAACTGTTGTGTCTGTCGCTCATCTTCTACTTTTGGTCTTTTCTTGGAGGTGCAGTGTTTTGATTAAAGAATGACTTTTCTGTAACATGAGCTCCTCGTCCACAGCCCGACCCCAGACCTCAGCCTGTGGTCCGCAGGTGCGACGCCAGCTCCTTCGCAGCTTCACACTACCACATGCCTGAAGCCACGGTGGGCAAGGAGGGGCCCGTATCACAGGTACCTACTGTCTATACCTGCATCACAGGTACCTACTGTCTATACCTGCATCACAGGTACCTACTGTCTATACCTGCATCACAGGTACCTACTGTCTATACCCGCATCACAGTTACCTACTGTCTACACCAACATCACAGGTACTTACTGTCTATACCAACATCACAGGTACCTACTGTCTACACCAACATCACAGGTACTTACTGTCTATACGAACATCACAGGTACCTACTGTCTACACCAACATCACAGGTACCTACTGTCTGTACCCGCATCACAGGTACCTACTGTCTATGCCCGCATCACAGGTACCTACTGCCTACACATGTATCACAAGTACCTTCTGTCTATACACGTATCACAGGTACCTACTGTCTATACACGTATCACAGGTACCTACTGCCTACACATGCATCACAGCTACCTTCTGTCTATACACGTATCACAGGTACCTACTGCCTATACACGTATCACAGGTACCTACTGTCTGTACTCGTATCACAGGTACCTACTGTCTGTACTCGTATCACAGGTACCTACTGTCTGTACTCGTATCACAGGTACCTACTGTCTGTACCCGTATCACAGGTACCTACTGTCTGCCTGGTGTCCGCCCCCACTGAGATAATCACTGTAACTGTGTGATCTTTATCCAGTGGTGACTGTTTCTAATGGAATGGTGATGTCATCCTAATGTGCTCAGGCCAGTGCACGTGAGGAGGCGGAGCTGGAGGCGCAGAGGGTGGAGCTGCTGAAGAAGGAGGAGCAGAGGAGGAGTGAGGAGCAGAGGGAGAAGGCTCGTCTCAGAGGGATCCAGGCCCTGAGGAGGGAGCAGCAGAACCAGGTCCGGCCTCCACATCGGGACGCTCTGTCTCTGTGTCGGCTTCACAATATTCTGAAGAACACAGCTGTATCATTTCATTGATCCTGAAAGTGTAGCTAGTGTTTGTTAGACCCAGTACTTAATCTTGCATCTATCATTCTAGAATAGAGAGATACTTCATTGATCCACTGTAGGATAAATTCAGGCTCCAGCAGAAACACATCCATCCAAACAAACACAGAAGTAAATACATTCTAAATATCAATATATCAACAATAGTGCACATGTGTAACTCAGACAGGTTTGTTGTACAGTCTGACAGCTGGAGTATATCTAAATAGCCTCTGAGCAGCTGTGTCATTCAGGACGTGTCTGAAGTTACTCAGGAAATAATAATCTAATCAATACAATAAATACTAATAGTTAAATAATTAAACAATAAAAAGCCTTTTTTATTTGTCACTAACAAAATTGGTTCAGAAAAGTTCAACAGAATGAAATTAAATGCTGCACTTTGATTATCTCCAGAATCAGAAAAATTTGTGTTGCCATTGTGACAAGAAGTACTTGGAAACTTCAAACTAGGAAATTACTATTATTACCAAGTATCAAGCACAATTCAAACTAGGAATTGGCTTTGGCTCTCGGTGCAAACAAGTTATAAAAGTAAAGATTTATGCATGCCTTATTCTAACAGGTCTAGGTCTAACTGTAGTGTGTGTGTGTGTGTGTGTGTGTGTGTGTGTGCGTGTGTGCGAGCAGGAGCGCGGGCGCCTGCTGCAGCAGCTGGAGCACCTGCATCAGACTGACCTGCTGCGGAGGAGGCACAGGGCGCTGCTCCTGCCTCTCCACAGGACCCAGGACGAGCAGGAGGAGCTGCAGAGAGACATGGAGCTGGCCTTCCAACACATGTACAGCGGAGAGAGAAGTACGCTGCCCCACACCTCCACCTGCTCCTCCGTTCATGCTTTTATGGTTTTTACAGCAATCAGGGCAAAGATAGATCACAGTCCAGACATTCTTTGAAAAAAAAGGTCAAAGAAAACAATTCATCCTCTCCTCACATACATGGAAGATATGTTTCATGCAAACAGAAATGTATAGCTTGAAATGAGGTTGGACGAAGCAAAAGTGTATTTAACCCCTCTCTCATCCATCCATCCTTACACACACACACTCAGACATTGCATCGGCCCACCCACTGCCACCAGAGAGAAGTGTCTCTGGACTCGGAGGGCTGTTGTTTGCCGTACTGTGAGAACCTGGTGCAGATTCTGAAATCACATCTTGAACTTTTATCATATCGATTCATGTTGTTGTGTTATTTTAGTATATACTTGTATCTAATAAATCTAATCACAATGTTTGTAATAAGAATGTAGCTGTAGATGTCTTTATGTGTGTTTGCTGAGTGGTTAGCCAGAGTCAGTGCAACAGTTTGTCCTTGAGAACTTCCCTGTTTGGTGTCAGAGGTTTTCTGCAGATGATGAGAGCAGGAAGCTTCTACAGACTCCACCCACATGTGACGCTGTTGTGTTGCTCTGACAGGAGTGAAGGGAGACCTGCTGTGTGGCCTGGTCCCGGAGCCTCTGCCCCCGCCCTCCACAGACAGCCTCTGCCCCGAGCTGGACGTGTCCCAGGACGAGCCCCCCCAGCCACAGCTGCAGGAGGACGACCCCAGGACTGGCTCTGTGCAAGGTCAAATATTTATATTATAAATTATATTATATTTATTGAAAACCATAAAACTGTGTGGGTTTGAATCTGAATCTGATCTGGAGCTGTTTCAATGCTAACATCAGGAACTTCTGACACAAGCACGGCCCCCACCTCTTTGGTCTAAATGGCATTTTATTTTCCTGAATCACTCGCCTATGTCTTCTGCCTTGAAACAAAAATAATGTTGTGATTTTGTACCTGTTATTTAGACCTGGGGTGTCCAAACCTTTTAGTAAGAAGGCCACTTAAGTTCACCAGATTAGTCCAGGGACCGACAACACATATTGAAAAACTGTTTTGACTGGATTCAGGCTGAAGCTGAAGTTGGCTGAATGACAAAGGACCATCTCCATTAGCAACATCAACAGAATTTTGTGACACAATCAAAAACAAGACAACAGCTGAGGCTCTGAACTTGTCAAAGAGGGGAACCAGGCTTATGTTGGCAAAGCTGAAGTTGGCTCAATGGCGCTGTAAGCTTTTGTTTATGATCTCAAAGACTATTTTGTGTTAGCGGCAGTGGACCACATGAGGACCTCAGAGGACCACATAGCATAACACACTGCACAGTTGGTCCGCGGGCCTTAGTTTGGACACGCCTGAATTGGACCATGTGAGATTTGAATCTAGCAGAATGCAACCTATTTAAATAAAACATATTTACTGTATTATTAGTACTTATATATGTAATTTAATATATTTATCTATTTCTTTAAATAAAATGTCACATTTTCACTTGTGGCTTTCCCTTTCCCAGAGTCCTCCAGCGCAGCAGTGCCCCTAGAGGCCGCAGACGGAGCAGCACGCGGAAGACCAGGCCTGAAGAGACTGCTGACCCGCATCCAATCACAGAGACGGCAGTGGAGCGAGAGTGAAGGAACTGCACCGTCCAGCCCCCCTGCCCCCCCTGACCTCCGTACTGACCCCCCCAGAAGCCAGCGCATAGACCCCAAAGACACCAGCAGCCTGGACACCGGCTCGCTCACCATAGAGGAACAACCATGTGAGCACCTTAACCTTTTGCGTTGGCCCTTAAACATGATCTTGAGAAAAGTCCTGGTTGTAGAATGCAAAACTGTCTCGCTGATGTCCTGCTTGTGTCCGGTGTAGATCCAGTCTAAAGAATAAATGGTTCTTCTGTGCTCATTTATAACTGTATTTATAACGTTTACAGCTAAAGAGGAAACTGAAGACTCAATCACGTCCGCCAAACAACTCCAGGAGATAGAAGAACAAAAGAAAAAGGTAGTTTTTGGATACAAATGTAAACTGAATGCGTAGAACTGTGATTATGACACAATAATGATAACTGTTAGTGCTCTGTAAGTGAATATCAAAACACGACGGTACAAAAGCATGACAAGAGAAACAAGACGGACGAGAGGAGACTTCTTCCCAAGTGACAATGACACAAGGCTCAAAACAGTCTGCGGGCGAGTTTTTCACAGTTCCTAATATTTCAGTAATGTTTTGTGTCCAACTTCAGGTGGATTTTATGATGTTAAATCTCTAAACGTCTATTCAAAGTGTTGCATCATCAGAGGGACAGAAGTTTACGATACCGTAGATCAGGGGTCTCCAACCTTTCACGATTGGAGAGCTGCTTTTATAAAACCAAAATGGCAGAGAGCTACAGTTGTAACACAATTGTAGTCTATGTTAAATACCACAGCCAATCATGGAGAACACACATGCAGAGTTTACCATTAGACCGTACAGTGTCTCTCCCTTTAGAATAGATGTAATAACTCAAAAGTGAATCGTTCAGGATCACGTGTCAGCTTAGAGACCTCTGCCTCAGATGGACTTTGCTTTTAAAAGGATGTAACCAGTAACATTATGGCTTATTGATATCATTTAGTTCACGTTGAGGTGCATCTGTATTTATTTAAAGGTAATCTGACTCAGAAATCAAAATATACAGACAATTTACTGTCAGGAGAACGATGGATAATTACACTTTTATTGTCCCCCGAGGTAAAGTCATTGCCACAGACACCGTCACATACATAGAACACCGACATCGAAGAAACAGATTGAGCAATACACGTGCAATACATGTGAAATACATGTGCAATACATGTGCAATACAGGGACATGGACAAGGCCTCAGACTGTAACAATACATGTGCAAAACTGTGTGTGTGTGTGTGTGTGTCAGGAGCTGTTGGAGGTGCTGCAGAGGGAGAGGCTGGAGCAGGAGCAGATCCTGGAGCAGCTGGAGCGACAGAGGCTGGAGCTGGAGAAGAGACTGACTGAGGCCCAGAGAGAGAGTGCTGCACTGAGGGCCCCCAGCCCCGAGCCTGTGGACAGCAATGTGAGGGGCCCTTTTATGCCTGAATGTGTATTAGAGATTAGGGGAAGACGGATTATTGGCACCGATATCTGGGTTATACCTACTAATGATAGTAAAAAATAATTATACACATTCCTCACAAGCAGCATCACATGAGGAGGAGGTTTCCATAGTCTCCAGACTCACCCATAATTTACACCTGTTCTCTTCAGGCGGTACATGAGGCGCAAACAAAGACACGCGGCTTACAAGAATGGTCCAAGAATACTGAGCCTGGCAATTTACTCCAGCAGTGAAATACACAGGACTTGTACATGTACTGTCAGTAGCAAACCCACAGGTTTAAAGGATCAAAGCCTTCATTGTGAGAGCCACAAACATTAGCTGCATGACTGTCGCTCTACAACATGAGACTTTATTGTGAATAAGAACTAATGTGAGATCCTGCTGACCCTCCACAGCCTGAGCCCCCCACTCCCACTGTGGAAGAACACCGACGCCGACTGCTGCAGCAAAATGTGTGAGTCACTAACTGAGGATTCTTATTTATTCTAATCCAACAGAACATTTAGTCATGTGTTAGCAGTGAGTAAAGACAGGGACGGACTAATGCCTCCATGTGTTTACTACTGCATCTCCTAAAGTGGAACTGTTTGATTCTCTCAGCTGTTGTTGGTGAATCGACAACTTTGTAAAGTCCTCTGAGGCAACAATAATGCTGAGAACTCGGCTCGTGTTAATATTGTCTGACATTGAGTGTTGTGGCAGTAGAAAGGTCGAGGATCGCTGATTTAAGGAGATATATTGATTGAATTGAAATGCTCAAAGTAACATGATGTTGTGTTGACATTTGCCAGTAGCGTTTAACAGATAGATACTTTACTTGATACCTTATTAATCCCCGTAGGAAAGATTCAGGTGTCCAGTAGCAGCAAAAAAAAAAAAATGTGTATAATTCTAAAAAGCTAACGATAGTAAGTAAGTAAGTAAGTAAGCTTTATTTATATACCGCCTTTCACAGACCAGAGTCACAAAGCGGTTTACAATTGTTATTATTTTTTGGGCACTTGTCTCTCACTCCACACAGAGATGGGAGCGGGGTCGCCAGTACAGGAGGCGCATGCCAGACCTATTGTACATATTTTTAGTGGTAGGGGAAACCGGAGTACCCGGAGGAAACCTACGCAGACATGAGGAGAACATGCAAACTCCACTCAGAAAGGCCCTGGTCCGGCCGGGATTCGAACCCAGGACCTTCTTGCTGAGAGGCGAGAGTGCTATCCACTCAGCCACCTTGCCGCCAGTAGTATAGTACAGTGTATATGAGAGATGTTTTATTTACATACTGTGATTGAGTGCTTAGGAAAAGTTACTAGACGCCTCTGAAAGCGTTATACTCGGTCTTCTTGTGCTCTGTAAACGTACAGTGTTCTTACACACTTCCAAACACATCTGATTCTAACTTATTTGATCGTTCTTGTGTGTCAGAGTTCACCAGAAGACTGTGGAAGTGGCTCGTCAGCGATTGGAGGAATACCAGCGAGCTTTACGACTCCGACACAACACTGCCCCACGTTCCGCACTCCCTACCCCAGTCCCTGCCCCAGTCCCTGCCCCAGTCCCTGCCCCAGTCCCTGCCCCAGTCCCTGCCCCAGTCCCTGCCCCAGTCCCTGCCCCAGTCCCTGCCCCAGTCCCTGCCCCAGTCCCTGCCCCAGTCCCTGCCCCAGCTCCTCTGTCCTACACTGGTCCTTCCTCGTTTCTACCAGCTGTTCCATCTGCCCTCCACCTCCCCGTTCCGACTTGTCCAAAACATCAGGCTCCTCCTCTGAGCGAGTGGCGTCCTCTGTGTCCTCCCGGGTCAGACCAGGGCCCTGACAGTCTGACCCCCCACAGTCTGGCCCCCCACAGTCTGGCCCCCCACAGACATGCCCTGTTTTTAAAGTTCATCCAGAACAGACTGGGTTTGACCTCAGACATCTCCCAAGCTCTCCCAACAAGTCCAGGTCCAGTGGTTTCTATGACAACTGCTCCTAGTCCTGTGGTCTCTATGACGACTACTCCTGGGCCTGTGGTTTCTATGGCGACTGCTCCTAGTAGTGTGGCCTCTATGGCGACTGCTCCTGATGCTGCTGTGGTCTCTATGGCGACTGCTCCTAGTGCTGTGGTCTCTATGACGACTACTTCTAATGTTTTGGTCTCTATGACGACTGCTACTAGTCCTGTGGTCTCCATGACAACTGCTCCTAGTCCTGTGGTCTCCATGACAACTGCTCGGAGTTCTGTGGTCTCCATGACGACTGCTCGGAGTTCTGTGGTCTCCATGACAACTGCTCGGAGTCCTTTGGTCTCCATAACGACTGCTCGGAGTCCTGTGGTCTCCATGACGACTGCTCGGAGTCCTTTGGTCTCCATAACGACTGCTCGGAGTCCTGTGGTCTCCATGACATCCACACCTTCTCCAGTGTCCTCCACTGGGATTGGCTCGTGGCATTCCTCAGCAGATCCTACAGGAGTGCTGTCGATGGGTTTGGGGTCAGTGCGCTCCACACTCGGGGGTCCTGGGACGATCCCACCCTCTCTGCTGCTTCCCAGAGCAGAGGCTGGTCTGGGGTCTGCGGTGGGCGCGGAGGAGGAAGAGGCACCAGCGCGAGGTCTGACTCAGGTAGAACAGCCGCTCATGTAAAGGAGACCAGTGTCCAGTGTAAACACAGCGGCCAAATACAACAGGAATTTAGACACAATAAAAACAAACAGTTTTCTTACAAGGACCGCCGCGTGTTTAACGGCACTAAACCACCATTTTGTCAGGTTTACAAGTACAAGGATGACGTGAAAATAAAATGATATATATTTCCGTAATATATAGTAGACCGTGCACAAGTATTCATACTGCTTTTTTTGAGTGCATTTAATGGCCAAACATTTCTGAATTTTCACAACCTGCCGTAATGATTAAATTGAGGCGTCCTGTGTGTAATTTACATTTAGATACGGGTTAAGATTTCCCAAGATATGAACTCACAGAGCACTGTTCAATCCCTCTTTTGGAAATGGATAGAGTATGGCACCACTTTAAACTTACCAAGACACGGCCGTCCACCTAAACTAACAGATACAGTTTTTTCATTTATGAGATCAATTAAGTGCTACTTAATTGTGCAGATATACAGTACATCACATTTCACCACAGTGGAACCTGGAAGGACGAGTCAGTAGAAGTTGAGGTGGTTCTGGGGTAGTGGTGGTTGTGGCGCTGGGGTAGTGATGGTTGTGGGGCTGGGGGTCAGGTAGAAGAAGCTGATCTGTCTTGTGTTTTGGTGCAGGGCTCCTCGCGGTCCTCTCTGCTGCAGACTTTGCTTAAAGCTCTGGAACGCTCCAGTTTAGGGAAGTGCTCCGACCACAGTCCTCCTCCTTCCTCCTCAGGTGAGTGCTCCGACCACAGTCCTCCTCCTTCCTCCTCAGGTGAGTGCTTCGACCACAGTCCTCCTCCTTCCTCCTCAGGTGAGTGCTTCGACCACAGTCCTCCTCCTTCCTCCTCAGGTGAGTGCTCCGACCACAGTCCTCCTCCTTCCTCCTCAGGTGAGTGCTCCGACCACAGTCCTCCTCCTTCCTCCTCAGGTGAGTGCTTCGACCACAGTCCTCCTCCTTCCTCCTCAGGTGAGTGCTCCGACCACAGTCCTCCTCCTTCCTCTTCAGGTGAGTGCTTCGACCACAGTCCTCCTCCTTCCTCTTCAGGTGAGGGCTCCGACCACAGTCCTCCTCCTTCCTCTTCAGGTGAGGGATTCGACCACAGTCCTCCTCCTTCCTCCTCAGGTGAGTGCTCCGACCACAGTCCTCCTCCTTCCTCTTCAGGTGAGTGCTCCGACCACAGTCCTCCTCCTTCCTCTTCAGGTGAGTGCTCCGACCACAGTCCTCCTCCTTCCTCCTCAGGTGAGTGCTCCGACCACAGTCCTCCTCCTTCCTCCTCAGGTGAGTGCTCCGACCACAGTCCTGTCCTGGTAGACAGATGTTGATGCTTCCTCTGCCTGTTTAGTCTGACTTTAGCTTTATCAAATGAAGTCTGTGTATACATTATAACGTTAAATGTTCCTGAATAACACTTAGGAGCATTTCACGCTCAATCAACAGTGCACACTAGCATTATTATGTGTCGTGACTTTGAATAAAAGTTGTCAGTTTGCTTAGAAAATGATCTGATCTAAAGAACATGAGAAAATAGAACTCGAATTCTGACATTTCTGCACCTCGGTGATCGAGATCATCAAAGAATACATTGAGTATTGAGGGACAAATTGCTACGAGATGTGGCTCGAGCTAATTGTCCAGAAAATGAAGCCTGACGAAGGAATGCATGATCTATTGTATTTAATGTGTGTCTTTTTGGGACCTGATGACTGAAATACAACTGTGTAGATTTTTACCTACGTCCAGCCTGAGTATTCGTATGTCTCCTGTTGATGTGTCCTCTGGTCCGTCCTCAGGCAGCAGGAGTGCTCCGTCCTCAGGCAGCAGGAGTGGTCCGTCCTCAGGCAGCAGGAGTGGTCCGTCCTCCTGTTCCTCGGTGGTGTGCCTCCCCTCAGCAGGAGCTACAAAGCCCCCCGTGTCCCGGACCTGGCTGGGCTGTGTGGACTCTCTGCACGAGCTCAGCGTCATCCCGGAGGTCACTACACCGGCCAGTCTCAGCTTACTGACCGGTACGACTTTTCACCACTTTGGATCATGTTCTTGTGGTTTCCTTTTATCTACTCACTATTATTATTAGAACCATTCTGTTCCAGTCTTATATATTCTCTTACACTCGAGCTCCTCCCAACCGACTCCTTCCACAGTCGTCTCAAGCAGTTTTACAAAGATTTTGATTCAACCAAATTGTTTGAAAATCTTTTACAATATGAACAAACACATAGGGAGCGGGATGTCCAATATCCATACATATTCACAAATGTGCTTAAATGTCCTGGATCACCACTGTCCTTAGACCCTCCTGCATCCGCGAGGAACCACTCAACATCCAGTGGGAGAAACGTGGAGACGGGGCCCGCTCTGCTTTCTGTCCCTAGTGTGTAGTTGTAGGTATTTGTAGAGTAATGGAGTGAAGTCTGACTCTACCAAAGCTGAAGCTGTCACTCACACTCAGGAGACTTCAGTGGTAAATATCCAGTGTGTCCTGTTTCCAGGGGCGGATCCAGGGGCAGATCCAGGGGCAGATCCAGGAGCAGTGGTTGACGTTCAGGAGGTGACGGTGACGGACTGCAGCGGCTCCTTGTCTGGTATGCGCCTGTTTGAAACCACTTCACTGTGAAATTCAAAGTGTGACCTCTGAGACTTGTGCCGTCAGATTTGGTGCACCATGTGGACTTCGGGAGTGGACCGGACCTCTCTGGTTCCTCTGTGGTCACCTCACTCTCAGCGGGGGTAAGCAGCTCTTTGTCTCAAGCGCATCAGACCTACACACTTTCTCTTTTAAAGCTGGTGTACCTACAATCCCTTATTGAAGATTTGTATTATAATTTTGTTCTTACTTTTACAAAAAAAGATAGCTACCCAGCTTCAATGACTTGTCCTGGTGACGAATGGCTGCAGCTGATGATCGGTGTGTTTCTCCTTCAGGCGGAGCGCGGCGCTCGGGGCTTGTCCAGCAGCCTCTCCACAGGCAGCTACATCACCACAGACCCCGAGCTGCAGTCTCACGCCGGTCGGACACTTTCTCTTCGGTACAAACTCGCACATGTGCTCATGCAGCTGAAACTAACGTTCCTCCTTCTCCCACAGACGATGAGCGAGAGAAGACTTCAGACCGGTCTCCGGGTGGGTCTCTGCTCCGGCTCAGCCCTCACAGCAGAGAGGCTTTCACTGACAGATTACCACCTCCGGGCTCCCCCCAGGTCAGTGCCCTGTCCCCCACCAGCAGGCCTGTGTTACTGTAAGTTTGCGTCAGAGATGCCACTAGGCTCATTCTCATTGAACAAAAACTATGACACAGGTTGAAATCGTCCTTTTAGCAAGTGGTTGGTGCGACCACATAAGATAAGATAAGATTGATCTCACACAGGAGAAATTTACATGTCACATGTGGCATGGATAGAATCACTCGAGAAGAAAAAATAGTATGCAAAGAAAGAAGTGCAAACATTAAGAAACAGTAAGAAAAAGCAAATGCAGTGTTGTCCACACAAAGGAATGACCAGTTATGTTCTTCCCAGGTGTGTCCTGCTGTCCCTGCTGAAGTGGCCCCTGGGTGGGGCACTGCTGTACCTGCTGAAGTGGCCCCTGGGTGGGGCCCTGCTGAATTGGCCCCTGGGTGGGGCCCTGCTGTCCCTGCTGAAGAGTCCTCTGTGTGGGCCACTGAGGGGGACGAGTCGTTCCGGCCCCTGGTGGGGGAGCTCCTGTGCCCAGCGGAGCAGGAGGGTTCTGGCCTGGAGCAGATCCTGGGACAGCCCTCTGCACACTCCTCTGTGATAGCGCCCCCTGGCTCCGGCTGGGAGAGCAGCAGCGGGCTCCACTGGAGGGAGGGGCTGTCGTACACACAGGACAGCACCTGGCACATCCCAGGGCAGGAGCGGCCCCTGGACTGTCCAGAGAACAAGTCCAGCGCTGAGGCTTCTGCCAGCTCAGGTAAACTCAGGACTGACAGGGGCTTGCAAAAGAACAGATACCCTCCTGAGAGGTCAGAGAATAGCAGCTCGCCATGATGATGACATGACTTCCTTTACATACTCCTGGTCACCATTCATTAGTCATTTTGACATCAACCCCAATAATTTCTCAACATCAATTTAATCCCCAACACCCAACCACAAATTAATATACCAAAGAGACTAAAAGTGCCACTCACATTCTTATAAATCCTTCACATATAAACAGATGCACATACACAACTGCACACACATGCACGCATACATACACTCTCGCACACACTCTCCAAATAGATAAGTTAAAATCAGTTACTATTACTATTTATATATGAATTTAGGATCATTTATTTCCAAATATTTATTTATTTGTTTACTTACTTCCTCACGTTGCTGTTGTTGTTATTGTCATTATTGTTATTATAATTGTTATTATAATTGTTATTATAATTGTTATTATAATTAATATTATTTACATTTCCTCTCTCACTTAAATTGGATATCTGAACAAACTATACATATTAGATCCAAGATTACAATCAGGTACTGGAAAAGAGAGGAAAGAAGGAAAGAAAAAGAATATATATAACGTTGTGTTTATAAAATAAATGAACAAATCAAATATACATAACATAGAGAACAACAGGGCAGACAAGAAGTGGGCCCGATGTGGGGTATCTCCCACCTCATCGGCCCCACAAATTTCTTGTTTTTTTAATGCACCTCACAGGACTGACAAGAGGACAAGCAGGGCCTGTTGAGTGAGCCCGTCTCGCAGCACGCTCTGCTTTTCATTATTATTATGATTTGTTTGTTTATTTTTGTTAATATTAATTATTGATTTATTATTATTGTCATTTATTCTACTATTATTATTTTTCACCAAATCCCAGCAAGATAAAATTAGCAATGGGTAATGATTGTGGCAATGACGATGATAATAGTGATAGCGATGATGATGTGTATATATATATAAACCCCTTTTTTTTATTTTTTTATGTATTTTTTTTATTATTATTATTTTATTTATTTTTTGTAAAATATATAGATTCATTTGACCACATTCGACATAGCACCTATGCACCCCTGCATTGCATACACATTCACATACATATACAGAAACTCCGCAAACCAAGGCTGAACTGAAACAATAAAAAACGCAACCCGAATAATTTTATTTTATTTTTTTTACTCTCCCCCTCCCCCCCAACCCCTCCCACCTTAACACCTACTGTATTTGTAAACCGTATATATTAGATTTCGAATATAATTTTGTTTTATTTCTTTCTCTTATGTTTTCATTCTTGTAATTGTATTAAAATGTAATAAAGTTAATAAAAAAAATAAAAAAAAAACAGAGAGGTCAAGGAGGAGGTTGTAAGAGGTCAGAGGTTTACAGCATGGTCCGTAATACAACTGTTTCAAAACATCTCACAGAAATGTGTTCAATCCATAATCTGGGAATGGAAAGAGTATGGCACAAGATGTGGCTGTCTGCCCAAACCCACAGCTCCATCAAGGACAACACTGATCACAGATGCAGACACAAGGCCTATGGTTAGTCTGAAAGAGCTGTAGACGTCCACAGCTCACTTGTATCATACTATCCACGCTAACACCTGACTCTGCAAATAATATTTAGTCTGGGAAGCAGTCACCTCAAGAGAGGTGTGGTTTACAATTGAGCACTACAAAAGTTTGTCATATGCACCAATAAGATCGTATCCGATCTAAGCAATGACATCTGCTGAAATCTTCTGTCCAATAGTGTGTCATCACACAGCAGTATCCCCAGGCTAGTATCATCCATGAAAGGAATGTTCTAGAGTCTGTTCTAGTGGTTTGAAAGTAGACAGGACGCCTCGTTTGATCCATCACTTCTGTATAACTTGACTCTTTGATGTGTGTCCAGGCTTTCACCAGCTGCAGGCGGAGCTCACACAGAACCAAACGCACACCAGCCAAAACCAGGAGCAGCCTGGCCCCTCTGAGCCCTGGTCCCCTGAGCGGATGAGGGGCGAGGGGCCCTCCATCTCCACAGGACGGCCCTGCTCCCCCTCTGAGGCCCTACAGGTGATATTTCGAAACTGTTCATGTCAAATAGGCTTGTATCAATGTGCATCTGTGTCACCAGGATGGCTTTGAGGATAAGGGTATTCTGGAGCAGTCTCAGATCACTTTGGTCAGTTTGACAGACAGCAGCTCTGACGAACAGGACGCTGGCACACTGGAGGAGGCGGGACCAGTAACCCAGGTAACAGTGAGACGTGTGATGTTGTGGATGACCTTGGAGAACCGAGCCTTCGCTGCAGCTCCCCTAACCCTAACACTTTAAAGTGTCCTATATATGTACAATGTATTATCATTATTATTAATATTATTATTATTATTATTATCATTAATATTATTATTAGCATTATCATTAATATTATTAGCATTATTATTAATATGCAGGATTGACGATTATGCAACATTTAAATCCAATCCAATGTGTAAATCTGAGGCCATGGCCCTCTCCAGGGTCAAGTGGAGGAGTTCAAGTATCTCTGGGTCTTGTTCACAGCGAGGGAAAGATAGAGCGAGAGATTGAAGGAGGATCGGTGCAGCGTCTGCAGTGATGCGTTCGTTGCATCGGACTGTTGTGGTGAAGAGGGAGCAGCGTCTGCCATCAAAGCGCACCTATGGTCATGAGCTTTGGGTTATAACCAAAATACAAGATTGTGGATACAAACAGTCAGAAGGAGTTTCCTGCGGAGAGTGGCTGGGCGCTCTCCTAGAGATAGGCCGAGGAGCTCAGTCACATGGGAGGAGCTCGGTGTAGACCTGCTGCTTCTCTACATCGAGAGGAGCCAGGTGAGGTAGCTCTGGCATCTGTTTGGGATGCCTCCTGGACGCCTTCCCGGGGAGGTGTTTCTGGGCAGGTCCCACTCTGAGGAGAGCAGGGGAAGACCCAGGACACGTTGAAGGGACTATGTCTCTCAGCTGGCCTCTGGAGGTCTCTGCTCAGCTTCCACTTGATTGATCGGAAATGTCATTAAAAACTTGAAATACAGAATTTGATTTGATTTTTATTTCTATTAATGCTGGAACAATGCTTTCTACAATGTCCTAGAACAATGAAACTACTGCAAACTTGTAAGAAATATGTTTGGACTTGGAGCATAATGGTAGATATTATATTTAATTAACGTTAGAATGTTGGGCCAAAAACAAAACTAATGACAAAAGCTCGATATGATTAACCAGTGAAAACATTTGTTGTTTCTAATCTGTGATCCTGCACTAACCATACTGTGCTGTGTGTGATGCAGAGCGCAGACCCCGACACAGACCCCGACCCAGTCCTGGAGCAGGTCACATGTAAACCGGCCGGGCCCCGCAGCGGTCAGCGAGCTCTACACTTCCGCAAGGTCAGAACACTGTCTGTGCATTTCTCTACGGCATCACTCTGTGTTCTAATCTATTTTATTATAATATTTTAGAAAACTCTTGAGAAGCTGCGAACCAAAGACATCCCGCCACACTAGAGCCTTCCTTTCTACATGCGCCAGAGCGGAGATGAAAAATTCAGCATCCTCTCTGGACCCTGGATATTCATGTTTTAGAGTCAAATGATTTTAAGCATCGATCCAGATGTTTCATGTCTGTTACAAATGTCAGTCTAACTTAAATATCTGCTCATGCTATGACTGACTAACTTAAGACTAACTTAAGAAAAACGGTCTCATGTGTTATTTAAACGGTTATTTAACTACAGAACAACTTGGAATGAGTCAAATGTGTTTGGCCTAGGTTTCTTTACATCCATTGAAAAGCCCATTCAGAGTTTAAAGCTGGGTTTTTCATAATTGCTACATATAGTTTGACTCAAAGAAAGTATTGTAAAATGTTGTCTTTTGTATACTTGTTAGAAAGAACCCTGAGGACAAAAATACATGACTGAAGCCCGGAACTAGTGACTTGGATTTTATTACAGAGTTTAATATTTTGTGTTGGGTTCTTCAGCTTTAACCGATACTTTTTAATCCAACAAACTTTCCAACATCAACAAGTTCCTGATTATAATGTGAAAGGAGTTCGCTGCAGCTCTGTGTGTGACGAGTGTCGGGACATGGATGGAACTCAAAAACTCAACTTTGTATTAATTTTTTAATAACCCCTCATTTATTAAAGAAAACGTGTGTTTTCGTTGTCATTCTGATAAAATATTATAAATGTTATTTAAAATGTATTTTCCTGATTGCTTTTTTCTTTTATTGTAATCATATATTTACTAATGCTGATGATTGTCACATATGAATGGATTAATCTGCTGTAGCTTTGAGGCAGGACATATTTTTATACTTTTGTTTTTATTGATGCAGCTTCTTTTAATAAATATTAATGCTATTTTACAGTTACAAGCTTAAACTTTATTCAGACCTCGACATAGACTCAATGTAACAGATTTTCCGGACTAGAAGCCTCAACCATTCCATGTTTAATTATTGAAAAAAGTAGCTCAAAACAAGTGAATTACTGACCGTTCTTAATCTTTCAGTGAAAGCAGAACAGTAAGGACCAACGTCTACTCTTTTCACCAAAAAACAGTTTATATGCTTTTCTTTTAGTATTTCCCATGTTGGGTGAGTACAAATGACTGACATATCATACAATTTAATTGGACCTGTGCTCATCAATTCTGTTGGTCGACTGAAAAAAACCTCAAAAAGGAAAAAATGCTGAAGTTTTTAGTCCAGAATTCCACAACTATTTATCACTGTAGTGTGTCATATTCCTTTGTGTGGGAATTCAACTTCATTTTCCTGAGTCTGATTTTTCAGAGGATCATATAAATGTACATTTCCACTAAACTCAGGTTATGCACACATCAAACTGGATCTATTGTTTGAGATTATAGATGATACAAAAAGAAAATATTGAGATAATAAAATTTGTGCAGATAAAATTGCACTTAGTTCAAGTATTTGTCACTTAGTCTATTTTCTGTAGTCAGCAGGAGGTATTTACAGAAATATAAATTGTACTTTAGCAACAGATAATATGATCAGAGTAAACAATAGCAATAATAGCAAGAGGTAAAGTGACGCATGGATTATCAGAACAGGTGAATGTCCAGGCCCAGTAGTTCTCGTACAAACTGACAGCAGGAAGGAAGGACCTGCGGAACCTCTCCTTCACTCAGTGGCGGTGGATAAGTCTGTCACTGAAACTGCTCTCCAGAGGTGACATTTGACATTGACATATGTTTGAAGCACAGACTGTATATATTTGTATTATTAAGTACATTTGGCAACATTTTCTGTATTTTTCAAAATGTCACTTTTAAACCAATACTGAGCCTGATGTGTGCCAATCATGGATCTGCCAATCAAAAGAAAACTATAATGTGAGGCATACATTCAAAACCTAACTCGGGAAACACAAATATACAAATACTTTTTTCCTATAGTTCTTATCCTGAACTGAAAACGTGCGTGGTTCTTTTTTCCCTTTATACGTAGACGCTCTTAAACCAATACTACATTATAATCTGTCACATGCAGCTCAGGCGCTCTCCTCGGACACCTCGAGCTGATCCAGGACCCCTCCGCCCCCGCGCATGCGCACACACGTCGCTGCGTTAGCTTCGGCAGCATTAGCACTAGCAGCACTAGCACCATGATCACACTCCTCCACAAGCTGCGATGTTTGGCCAACAGGCGTCTGGTCCAGAGAAACACCAGTGACCCAAAAAAGTATAACAGTATTAGTGATAGAGTAGATAAAAACACTACTACACATGTGTAGATAGAGAGTCTCAGTTGGGCTCATTGTCAAACTGATCAAAGAAGTCGACCTGGAGGGACAACAGACAGATACACTGAGCTTGTATCCAGAGAACAACGTGTGAAGCCTAAGTCAGCTTTCAGATATATCTGTAAGTCAATCTAGAGGATAATGAGTTTCTCCCTCTGCTGGTTGTGATGATGTTGAGGTCAGACATGATGAATATACTGTAAGTTTCTTGCTCACATGTCTCTGTGATGTTTATCGGAGCCATATTATGTGTCAGGAACAGGGCCAAAATTAACATTCACTAACAGATTTATGTCTGCATTAAAGGAGCATTCCTCCACTTCACTGGAGGAGGGTTACATTTTTGCTTAGGTTCATCTAATGCTGTTTTTCCAGAAGGTTTTACGACACATTATTATAATTTTCCATCTATATGCATTCATCAGTGAGTAAGTAACCATTATTTATATACAGTTGTTGTTGGGCGACAGTAGCTCAGTTGGTAGAGCATTGGCCTTCAGGCCTGAAGGTCGTGGGTTCAATTCCCACCTCTACACCTTCTCCACCGACTCCCACTGATGACTGCTGTCGTTGTGTCCTTGGGCAAGACACTTAACCCCACTTTGCCCAAAGCCCCCACTGAAAGATCAAGGCTATGCTCACACTCAGAGAGCAGCCGTCCTCCTGTGGACTCACCACCTGCAGAGGGTCAGTGAGGGGCTGGTGCTATGAGACTTGGGTGGCATCTCTGACTGCCACCCCCCTGACCCAGAAATGGATTAAAGGGTAAAAAATGGATGGATGGAGTTGTTGTGGTGTAGCAATAATTTCCTGTTACAAAACACCAAACCAATGTGAGATCACATGTTTTTCCAATCATTTACAAATATTATATAGTATACTTACATGTAATGAATTTATAATATAATATAATGTCATTGTGTTGCAAGAAAGGACACTGGCAACAATGGTTTTGATGGTAACAGCGGTGACTTCATTAAGAGCCAACAACTCGTATCTTTAACAGGTGAAACTTACCTCACTTTTAGTTTTAAACAGGCCACTCAGGTTGCTTATAAATCCATCCACCTTGAAAGCACTTTGATTCTTGTCCTATAACAAATCCTCTGTGAGTAAAACTGATAGATGTTACTATTATATGTAAGTGTGAGACTTCTCTTATCTTGCTAGTAGAAGGCTCACGTTACTGGTGCTGGAGGAGGAGAGCTCTAAAGCAGGGGGAGGGTCCTCAGACCCCAGTTGCTCCAGTTTCTCTTTGAGCAGCAACCGCTGAACCTCCAGTTTGGCCCGAAGTCCCTGAGATAAAACCACCTGCTGTCGGCTCTGCTCTAGGGCTTGGCTTTTACTGAACTGATAGACCCTGGACACACAGAGAGACATTCTCTAATATTCCATCTATCCATCCATTCATTTTCTTCCGCTTCATCCGTTGCTGGATTGCAGGGGCAGCAGTCAAAGCAGAGACGCCCAGACTTCCTTATCCACACACACTTCCTCTAGCTCATCCGGGGGAACCCCAAGGCGTTTTCAGGTCAGCTGAGAGACATAGTCCCTCCAGCGTGTCCTGGAACTCCCCCGGGGTCTCCTCCCGGTGGGACGTGCCAGGAACACCTCCCCAGGGAGACGTCCAGGAGGCATCCAGAACAGATGCCTGAGCCACCTCAACTGGTTCCTTTCGCGTTGAGAAGCAGCGACTCTACTCCGAGCTCCTCCCGCTACTCACCCTATCTCAAAGGGAGAGCCCAGCAACTCTGCGGAGGAAGCTCATTTCGACCGCTTCTATCTGCGATCTCGTTCTTTCGGTCATTACCCAAAGCTCATGACCATAGGTGAGGGAGGGAACGAAGATTGACCGGTTTGGCTCAGCTCCCTCTGATACAGCGACCGCATCACTGCGCACGCTGCACCGATCCGCCTGTCAATCTCACGCTCCATCCTGGAGAGGGCAAGGCACCTTTTTCGGTCGAGCACCATGGCCTCGGATTTGGAGGTGCTGATTCTCATCCCAGCCGCTTCACACTCAGCTGCAAACCGTCCCAGTGCATGCTGCAGGTCCTGGTTCGTTGGAGCCAACAGGACAACATCGTCCGCAAATAGCAGAGATGAAATCCTGTGGTCTCCGAACCGGACCCCCTCCGGTCCCTGGCTGCACCTGGAAATTCTGTCCATAAAGACAGTGAACAGAACCGGTGACAAAGGGCAGCCTTGGTGGTGGCCAACATGCACCGGGAACAGATCTGACTTACTGCCGGCAATGCAAACGCGGCTCTGGTCATACAGGGACCGGACGGTCCTCAGCAAAGGACGCCGGACCCCGTACTCCCGGAGAACCCCCCAAAGGACCCCCCGAGGGAACATGGTTGAACGCCTTCTCCAAATCCACAAAGCACATGTGGATTGGTTGGGCGAACTCCCATGAACCCTCAAGTATCCGATTGAGTGTATGGAGCTGATCCGGTGTTCCGCGACCAGGACGAAAAACACACTGCTCCTCCTGAATCCGAGATTCAGCACCTTGGAGTCGACCCTCTCATTCACCGGGGAGAACACCAACACCCCCGCTCGCCACCTCTCCCCGCTCCAGAAAAGTGGAGCGTCCAACCCCTCTCGAGGAGCTGGCTTCCAGAGCCCAAGCTGTGTGTGGAGGTGAGGCCGACTATCTCTAGTCGGTATCGCTCAACCTCCCCCACGAGCTCAGACTCCTTCCCCCCCAGTGAGCTGACGTTCCACGTCCCAAGAGCCAGATGTTGTGTGCGTGAACTGGGTCGTCGAAGCCTCTGCCTTCGACTGCTGCCCAGTCCTCTTAGCACCGACCCACCACGGATCCCTCTGTGTCCCTAATATTCCATTATTGTTATATTCATTGCAAAGGAAGGTTTCTCACCCATCATCTGTACTTCTTAGCAAGTTTTCCCGTTCTGTTCTGAAAACTTAGCAAGTTTTCAGAACACATTAATTCGGTGGACCCTTTTATAAATTTCACTCGCGAGGATGCTAAGGAGAGTGAACTCGCCTTTCTAGATTGTAAGGTCATCATACTGGAGAACGGACAATTAGAGACTGAGGTCTTCAGAAAGTCCACTCACACTGACCAGTACCTGGCCTTTGACTCAAATCATCCGCTACAACATAAACTCGGGGTCATTAGAACGCTTCAACACCGAGCCCACCAGGTCCCCACAAGCTCGGAGGGAAAGAACAGAGAAACCAAACATGTTCAGAGAGCACTTTCCAGATGTGGCTACCCCAAGTGGTCTTTTACTAAAGCCCAAAGGACGAGAAAGGCCAGAGACACAGTCCAACAGACAGAAGAAAGTAGGAGGAGAGGCGTGTCCTTACCGTATGTGGCGGGAGTTTCAGAGAAACTACAAAGAATCTTTAGGCAACACAAAATCCCTGTGTATTTCAAACCTTTCAACACGTTAAGACAGAAATTAGTGCATCCCAAAGACAAAACACCCAGACACAAACAGAGCAATGTGGTGTATTCAATTAAATGTAGTGAAGAGGAGTGCACTGACCACTATATTGGAGAAACCAAACAGACTCTACAGAAACGACTTTACCAACATCGTAGAGAAAACTCTAGTGGGCCACAGTCGGCTGTTCATCTCCACCTCAAGGCCTCCAACCACACGGTGGATGACACAGAGGTTAAAATTCTGGCTCGGGAGAAGAATTGGTTTGAGAGAGGAGTGAAAGAAGCCATTTTTGTGAGGAAACAAAAACCTTCTCTTAACAGAGGAGGAGGGTTAAGATTTGTTTTGCCTCGCATCTATGACGACATCCTAAAAACAACGCCCTAACTTGGGACAAGGTCAGTGACATGCTAATGAGTTAGGAGGGGTGAGACCTGCACTCCACTTGAGCATCCCAGCAGACAATAGGTCTGTGACATGCGAATGAGTTAGGGTCGTTAGCCTCAGCAGGGTCGTTAGACCTGCTCCCTTCTACATCAAGCAGACCTTAGATTGTTTATGAGTTAGTATCAGGATTAGGGTGTGGCTAACCACACCCATAGGTTATAAATCTCCAACGCGCGGTCCGAGAATTCATTCCCTGAAGAAGTCCGCTAGGTTGAGGACGAAACGTCAGGAAAACTTGCTAAGAAGTACAGATGATGGGTGAGAAACCTTCCTTTGCTTTGACTAATCCCTGTACGACTGAGAGCTTACACAAACTGTTATATTCATTGTTCTAAAAAAACAAAAACGGTGGGATCATTGATTGGTCATTATTGACACCATTGTTTCTGCATCATACACATAGTTTTTTGAGCCACGACTATAGTATTTTAGCTGTGCACCTCACAGTTTATTTGATTTATCTTTTTATCCTAACCTGCTTTAGTTCCTTCAAGTTCATATTTCGGCACACAAATCACTTGTCCTTTGGGATATGTGTGACTACTTTGAATCTAACTCCTTCAAATGACCTCAACATTTCCCAAGAGTAATATGCTTTATAAAACTGTAACACCGTTTTGCATCACATTTTGCGATTAACATATCAAGCTCCACCGCTAGTCAGTGTTGTAAGTTATCTGTCTTCACAATACATCATTGTGTCAATATATAATATGAGCCATTGGTTACTAGCCTCTGTCCTTTTGTCACGCCTTCTCTTTCAGAGCATAACTCTTGTTCCAGCTGCTCCACTGTCGACTGCTTAGAGCCCAGTGTGCGTGCAAGGTCCATCAACTCCTCCTCCAACGCTGTAAGTCTGAAAGATGTGTGCACTGATCAATAATCCACAAACAAAGAAGAGGCTTTGAAAAAAATAAAAGCATTGTATTTTTATTATTGAGATGCCTGACTTGTGTTGGATGTTCTCAAGTGTAAGGTCATTCAGATCTATCTCTGCGGTGAAAAGTCGCCCATTTTCGTCCAAGATGCTCAAATCAAAATCGACACAAGCTGGGTCTTCCCCTACAGACCTGCCCCAACAGCAAATCAGTATTATGAGGTTGTGCTTTTAGGAGAGGATTGTCAAAATAGGAGGCTGTTCATACCTGTTTTGTTGGATGAAGCTGTCGTACTCGCAGTGAGGATCGATGGCTGTTAGAGCAGTAGACATTTCTCTATGGACATGCACCACTTCATGATGCAGCAGCGTGGAGATGTCAAAGTACTCCTGGAGGATCTCCTTTCTGGATCACAGGCCAAGGATAAGGGACAAATTAAACAAGAGAAAATGAATTGGCAAGGGCTCAACCTCAAGGCCCAACACAAAATGACAAACAGTCTTTCAGCTTGTCACTTTTGCTTAAGGGAGGCTGCACTGCTGCTATTACCCACAAAATACTTACATCCTTGTTGTAGTGTACACAAATAAAGTACGCATTTCCTGGGGTATACCACAACATTCATGCTCTTGGTACAAAGTGAAAGTACATCTCGAAAGTACTAGTACACCTCAAACACCCTCATTAGCAGTACTACTTTCTGGCCTACTGCCATATTTTATATAAATGGGGCAGTGGTATTATATTAAATGGATAATGCGTCTGCATTTGCTCAGACTCTCAAGTGTGATACATCTGATATATTACATAATACATTTATTGATAAGAACAGAGGATTCGGCAACATGATGCATGTAATACAATAGTGGAGGGTCTGCCATCTGCTTATCTTCCACACTTTGGCATTGAAATGATGTACTGAGTCAATTGGATGATGCCAGCACAGGTAGAGGTTAAAGAGAACAATCATTTTGAGTTTTAAACATGTGAAATTGAGTAAATGCCATATGATTAAAACTGTTCATGCATTATTATGGAGTGGGGCAGATTAATGATGTATTCATTTTGTAACACTTTTCATGTGAGAAAATACAAACCACTTTGTATTTAAAGTGACATTGTACCAATGTCACTTTAAAGGTATTCTCTCCTGTACACTTATACACTTAATATACAGATTTTGTGAGTTTTTATCACAGGTGTCTTTTAGTGAAACAATAACTGGAGTTATTGTCATTGCATGTTTATTACGATTTTGTTATAAATGTGAATAGAGAGCCCAAAGTGTACAGTTATGTCTTACAGTATGAGCAGCATCTCCTGCTGCAGACTCTGCAGAGCCTGGAGCAGAGCCGGCTGAATGTGGCGGTGGTGCTGCTGATGATAAACCTGCGCCGCTCGCACTGACAGCACGTACTCGTTGTGGAGGTCGTAGAGTTTGACTGACGCCTTCACATAACGCTCTTTGGCCTTTTCTTGCTCACGCTCTGAACACACACATAGAAATGAGAGGTCTCTTCAGATGTGCACTAGCGATTGAGATTGAATAAAGGATGATTTAAATGGGCATCTCCTACAGAAAATGCTATCGTAGATCTCTAACCAGCTCTCGACTGAGTCGTCACCTTTGATGACTTCCTGATACTTCCTCTTGGCCTGAGCGGCGTTCCTCACAGCCTGTCTGTAGCTGTTCTTCAGTGTCTCCAGCGCTGTCTGAGTCACCTGAAACACACATCACTAATAAGGAAAAACACACATCATCAGGTATTTCTTTATGTGAAAACTTACATAGTGCTTCTGGCACAATCAACTCACTTCTTACAGTACATGATGCTGATGAACCAATGTGGCCCCAGCTGCACTGGGGCAGACTGACGGGATCAAGGCTACTAATCAGACCACCACCAATCATTCCCATCACAGTACTAACCAGGCATTCCCCTGCTTCGCATAAATTAAACTTCTTAATAATTATGTCAGAATAAAATACCTTTATTTCTTTGTTCCCTTAAAATTATATGGTTCTATGTGACATTTTTATTTGTATTTTTTATTTATTTGACAGGGACAATGACAGTGACACTGCTCAAAATCGCATTCATGCTGCAGAGGAACAAGTAGAACTTTCTAGAATTGTCTCTCAGTCCCCAGACCTCAATATTATTGAAAACGTGTGGAGTGATTTCAAACGGGCTGTGCATGCTCGCAACTCATCAAACCTGACTGAACTAGAGGTGATCTGCCAAGAAGAATGGTCAAAAATACCTTCCACCATAATCCAGACTCTAATTGGAAGTTATAGGAAACGTTTATGAGGTTGTAGAAAATATTCACTTTGTTTTTCTTTCGTGGTGCCTACATTTATGGACATGCCTAATTTGGTTGAAATAATTCTTGCACACTTAATTTTGCAAGAATTATAAAAACTTAACTTTTTAAATACCATTGTGTTTGATAAATTTGATGATATATTTAACTGAAACCACCAAGGATTTATAAAGGAAAATCATAAAAATGAATAGTCCAGACTTTTGCATACCTCTGTATTGGCATAATTTGGAGTCTAACGCATTCCCATTATCAGCACCAGTCAAATAGTTTTTCATCAACAATACTCACTCAGTGGCAAAAGAGGAAGTAGATAAGAAAACAGGTAGCAAACCTTCGTGTCAGTTTCTTTTTGTGTCTGAAAGTTCCACCAACACAAACCATATCTAAGCCTCTGGTTTACCGCTGCTGGACTGAGGAATGTTTAGCTCATGCGAATATATTATGCAAAAAACTGCTTTTTGAGTTTTTAACCCGGTTAAAACATATTTTATAATAAAAAATACGTTGATAAAAAAAACCTCAAAGCTCAACAGAAAGTAAGATGTTGTGAACAAATCAGACAATAACATGCTGTCTTCATCTCATTAGGTGATAACTAGTGATAGAGCCAAACTTTAAATGTTTATGATGTGAAAGTTAAGTAGCCTAGCTTTAAAGCTTGTCTAGGACTCGAAACTACAGCTTATTAGATGTAGTGCCCTTTATGACAGCTGCTCATGTGTTGGTACAATGATGTGAAATGGTGAAATGAAACCCATGGGTTTTCCACAATTGCCAAACAATTTCCTGGGGTGAAACATTGTAGTGTCAGGCAGGAAAACCCAAGACTCTTATCAGACTCTTATGACAAAAGACATGAAAACCCAATAGAGAAGACCCTACAGTGACATGCTTATTCTGCATGTGTTCATTTTGAGAGAACAAGAGGTGTTTGAGGAGAGACAGTGGTTACCCTGATGAGCTCTTGTCTCTGGGCGCTCCACTGCTCAGAATAGTTTTTGCGCAGTTGTTGTTTGTCTCGTATGAGAAGGGTCAGTTTGTTGATGGGACCTTCCTGCAGATCCTCAGAGCGCCTCTTCATCAGCTGACTGAGACTCTCTGTCTGAGCCACCAGCACCTCCCACGACTGCAACATGCAAATATACAACTTTCAAAGGAAAAGGAGTCGGTTTTTTTCCCCCAGCACAAATATGGAGGAAGAGTTGATGAGCTGTGAGGCATTAATCATCAAAAATGTATTGAGTTTCTTTGAAGCGCATCAAAACACATACAAAAATCCAGATTACATTTTAAAACTGTCACTGTGTTTTTGAACTTCATAATGAAAAGGTTTCGGGCACTTTCAGTTTAAACATGCACATTTGTTCAAGTTTAATACTGTGATAGAATTTCACCTTTCAGTCTCAATTGTTTCTTTGGGAAAATTATGCTGTAAATTAAATGGAGTAAATAGATCGTATAGAACACATTTCTGAGGTAATTTTGGAAAATCCCTTTCTGGTGTTCCAAGACCTGAAAAGTGACATTTGTCACATTTTATTTTGATGATAGATGTTATTTTAATATAAATCTGAATGGCAGTTTCATCTTCAAAAGCCGTTTTATTCGCATTTTCCTAATGCAAATTAAAATAACATTGTTTTATAAAATTAAGCAACAAAATGTGAACTTTTTGGGCGACAGTGGCTCAGTTGTTAGAGCATCAGCCTTTGGGCCTGAAGGTCGTGGGTTCGAGCCCACCATAAGACCTACTTCACCTCCCACTCATGTCTGCTGTTGTTGTGTCCTTAGGCAAGACACTTAACCCCACTTTGCCTGAAGCCCCCACTGAAAGATCTCAGCTCCTGTGGACTCACCACCCGCAGGAGGATCAGTGAGGGGCTGGTGCTAAGTGTACTGGGTGCAGCTCTGACTGCCACCCCCCCGACCCAGAAATTGATTAAGGGGAAGAAAATGGATGGATGTGAACTTTTCAGTTTAGGCTGTATGGTTTTGTTGTTCCTCCGTAAAGCAAAGCTGCACATCACATTTTTCACAGAGGGAGGTAGTTGCTTTGACTTTGGTGTTTACAGCGGCCACATTTCACAGGCCAGTGGGAAATGTTGTCAGTGAGAACATCAGCTGGAACTCCCACACGACCTCTCTTGGGTGTTGGCGGTGGAGATGTGGGCTTGGATGTTGGCCGACCTCTTTGTGAAGACACAAGAATCAGACTGGTAGAAACTTCTGTCTGGAAGCTTTTTGACACCAACTAGGTTACAGTCATGGTGGTAGATCACAAATGCATTGACCAGGCCGATCATGATGGTTTGCCAGAACAGGTAGAGGTACCATCTTTGTGATGTGGTTCTTGTCTGCGTGTTCATCTGAAGGACACCATAGTATCGATTGAGTTGCACTCCTGATTCTAAATGTATTATTTTACTGACTCCTCCCTCTGGTGGGTCCTAATATTTTACCGCCGTCAAGCCCGCCTGATTACCATCCTGCAGGTCAAGCCAGCCTCATTTGGCAGCTTCCGGTGTGCTTGTTTTGATCACGTCTACAGCCACATCGGGATCAGGCTGGTGTATGTACTGCAATGACAACTTCACTCCAATAGATGGCGGTGTTAGCCTACTTTTCAGGATCATTACACAACTGCTGGTGATGTGCATGGAAATAACTTTCGTAACACAAAAAAAGATGTGAGAACCAACATACGCGAACAGTTTTCCAGGCGAATCATAAATAAAGCCAATTTAATTTGAATATTATTACTGCACCAGACCTTATTGTTACTGAACAACTCAAGTAATTGAAGTAGAAGTTTGTTCTTTATTATTATTAAAATAATTTCTGTAGAAATGTCACTAAAGGGACTGCAGTGCACATCTTAGAAAATAAATAAACAAATAAAAACAACAGAAGAACATCGGGCATGTCATAAATGAAATATAATATAATAAGAAAATGAACTATAAGGGCAATCATTCTACAAGATTGACTATAAAAGAAGCTAGTTTCACTGCATTTTGGGTGTTAATCAATAATAAATAATAATATTTAGAAAATAGTTTCAGCTCATTCATCCAATGAAAAATTTGAAGTTTTGTTTTAAAAAAAACATTAATGTATGTAATGTTTGCTTGACAAAATTACATTGTCAATGCCAATTCTTGTTAATGCCAATTCTACTCAAGTAGTATACTGCACCATATGAGAAAGCTGCAAGTAGTAGTTAAAAAGTCCATTACTTGTTACTGCACTGGAGTAAATCTGTGGCCATACCGCCTTTGCTCTGCCCAATCCCGTCAGATCTTGGAAACTAAGCAGGGAAGGGCTTGGTTACTACTTGGATGGGAGACCGTTTGGTAACACCAGAAAGCCTAGCGAATGTGATGAGTGGTTGGTGGTGGTCAGAGGGGCCGATGGCGCAAACTGGTAGCCTCGCTTTTGTCAGTCTCCCCCAGGGCAGCTGTGGCTACAATAGTAGCTCACCACCATCAAGTATGGAGTGAATGAATAGTGCAATGTAAAGTGTCTTTGAGTGTCCAGAAAAGCGCTATATAAAACCGATGCATTATTAAATCTAATTTAATACTAACCGAATCTGCTCGTGCCCCAAAAGTGTGCAACACATTCATACACTCACATAAGATCTAGAGGCACTCTGTAACATTATTAGCAGGTATGTACAGTATGTGTGTCACACAGAGTAGGCCCATTGAAAGCTATGTAGATCCATTGTGTGGTGTACATGTAGCCTATTATAAGATTGTACAGGTAGACAGACTGAGCTCATTTTATGAATGCAATTGTCATGTGATCATTTGCTTTTTACTATGCAAGAAGTACATGATATTGTGCATATAACACACAACTGGTCCTTCTCTGTCACCCTGACACGCAGCTCTTATTCAAATAAACCTTTGTATTATGATATGAATATAATCCTCTTAATTTTTTGTGTGTTACAGAGCTTCTTGATCACCAGGTCGGAGGGACCGTTGGCGCAGATGTGTGCAGCCTCGCTTCTGTCAGTCTACCCCAGGGGAAACTGTGGCTACAAATGTAGCTTACCACCATCAGCATGGAGTGAATGAACCCCCCTCCCCTTCGTGTGTGAAGCACTTTGGGTGTGACTTGTGTCATATAAAAACGCTATACAAATACGATTCCCTTCCCCTTCAGTGGATCTTGTTTACATGACATGCACCATGGCCCATTACATGAAGTGCTGGTAATAAATAACATTGTCCTGAAGAACACTCTGTCACATAGGTACAGAGTAAAACTGTGCTGGCTGTGCTAACAGTTTGGACCAAACATGGAAAACACGGATGCATCTCAGTGACATACAGCTAAAATCTGTCTGTAAACCCGTCTTCCAGAAGATTGTCAAACATTGTCAGAGGCAATGTTTTTATTAAGGCTGAAAAATGGTTCAGCAAACTGTGCATGTGACAACTTGTGTTGAATTAACACTCTTCACTATTAATGTATGGAAATAATAGTTTGATGTTGTATTATGGATTTTGTTAGACTTGTTAACTATGCATCGAATGAATAGCTGTTGTATATCAACTTTGCACTTTCAGGAAATACATGACATAAAGACACTTTGGTCCACCATGTTAATGTGATGGAACTGTTGGTCAGGAATTAGGAGGCTGCTTCTTTCTAGCAACTTCCACTGGTGATATCACACAAAATAAAGTTACTTACAATATTGGGAAAATATGTAATGTGTATGTACACATCATAACAGTCATTCATATCAGATTATAACATTTCATACAGCGGGCCATTTAAATGATAACCTATTTTTGTGATATTCTTGATGTGAGGAACAAAAGTCAGCTCAGAGTCAAAAATTACGCCGAGGTTTTTCACTTGTGATGATGGATTAAAAGAGTGTGATTGGAGTTTTGATAAAAGTTTCTCTCTCTGGGCCTCAGGACCGATGACTAAAACCTCAGTTTTGTCCTGGTTAAGCTGGAGAAAGTTTTCTGCCATCCAGGATTTCAGGTCTAAAATGCAGTTAAAAAGAGCATCCATTGGCCTGGTGTCGTCAGGAGACATGGAGATGTACAGCTGTGTATCATCTGTGGAAGTTAATTCCATGTCTCCTGATGACACCGCCAAGAGGGAGCATGTACAGGTTAAAAAGGACTGGACCTAAAATAGAACCCTGGCACTTGCATTGAAGCAACTGCCATGTGATTTGTTGTTTAGATAATTGCATTAATGTGAAATTGAACAGGTGTCCCTAATAATCCTTTAGGTGAGTGTAGGCATTTTTTTAGCCAGTGCTCTGATCATTAATCAGTACAGCTGGTGGTGTGCTACTGGGAGGTCATTATACGTGCATGCATGTGAAGCAGCATTTTCCCACTAGAAAAGAACTAAAGTCAGAAAGATGACGAAAAGGAAGGCATACAGTATGCGAGGGTAAGTAAATGGCACGAACATGGTAAACATTCTACTGTACTATTTGACACAAATAAATAAAACAAATAAATAATCATAAATACAGAGAGCATGCTAGCTATCATTGTATATAGCTAATAATGAGTGTGTGATTTGTCAAGTAACCTAGTAGATGTGTTGTGTAGTTTTTGAGTTATGAGTTGCAAGCAATATCCAGGTGATGTTTTTTCTGAACCTAAAATTAGTATAGTATGTTGAATGCAATAATTTTATTTTTTTCAGGAATACATTGTATGGGTAGAAAATATTAGTGTGAAGTAGAGGTTAGCTTGGGCCCAAAAAAAAGCCCGACCCGGCCCGAGCCTGAGCTATTAACTTGAAGCGCGCACACGTGTCGGGAGTTCACGACAAGATACACTGCATGCAAAAAACGATAACAGCACAAACTAAACATTTGACAGCACAAACGATTGACATATTTGTTATACAATTTTGAATATGATCGTTGTTCATAAACAACGCGCTGCATTTACAAAAGCTACTTTTTACGCAGTAACAGGAACCAAACTGCTTATTTATCCTGTAAATGAAACGCTGTCCTGAGAGATAGAGTGAATAGCGATGTTCACTGCGTGGCGCCAGTATCAAAGCCTGACCATGCTGCTTAAACGTGACGGTGACAATACAACAGCACGTGCAATTCCCAGTATCTCCTTGACATGA